TGAATAGCGCCGGTCGAGTTTTAAAAAACTCGCCCTTATACAGTCGAGTCTCGAGTCCTGAACCTTGGCAAAAAAACTCGACCGGGTTTCACCCGACTCGAGCTCGAACTCGGTCGAGTTTTGGCCCAGACCGAGTCGAGTTTTACTCGACTCGGTCCGTAGCCCATGTCTACCCGCGCCTGGAGCTGCAGATTCTCCCGCGCCTGGAGCTGCAGATTCTCCCGCGCCTGGAGCTGCAGATTCTCCTGCGCCTGGGAGCTGCAGATTCTCCTGCGCCTGGAGCTGCAGATTCTCCTGTGTGTGAGCCTAGCGTTCCCCCATCCACCCCCCCAGCCCTTGATTCTCTCTGTCACTCACTCTCATGCTCCATTGCTCCCTCTTTCTCTCTGTCTTCCCCCCTTCTCGGCGTGTGCATCACCAGGTGCAGCAGTCGACGCTGCTGAAGACGGTGCTGCTGGTGATTCTTAAGATAGGCAACATGCTCAACGAGGGCACCAGCAAAGGTGCGTGTGCTCGCTATGCACAGGGGCCGCCATGGGGCGTGGAGGGGGGATGGGGCGTGGGGGGGAACATGGGGTGTGGGTTGGGCGCATGGGTCGTGGGGGGGGCATTGGTTGTGAGGGGGGCATGGGGCGTGGGTGGAGGCATGGCATGGGGCATGCGGGGGATGGGGCGTGTTGGGGACATGGGTCGTGTGGAGGGTGGGTGGGTGGATGACGCACGGATGCGCCTCATAGTCTACCTGTTAACGTGACTGCGCGTTGTCCCGTGCATGTTGGCATGTGTGTGTCTCTTTCTGTTTGTGGCTGGGTGTGGATGTGTGCACATACGCCTGTGCGTATGCATATGCATTTGTTGTGTGCATGCATGTGTGCATGCGTGTGCATGTGTGTGTGTGTATGTGTGCGTGTGCGTGCATGCGTGTGAGTGCAGGGCGAGTGGAGGGCTTTGCGGCAAAGGACTTGAAGCAGGTGGTGCGCACCAAGGGCCTCATGGCTTACCTCATCAAGGTGCGTGCGCCCACACCTGCGCCCACACCTGCGCCCACACCTGCGCCCACACCTGCGCCCACACCTGCGCCCACACCACACACCTTCCACTACACGCACACTCACTCTCGCCGCCACATCCGAGTCCGCCGTCCTCCTCGACACCCCCCACAGAAACGCATACTCATGGACACACCACTGCATGTGCCCGTGCGCATCATCACGCCCACGCATGCGCAACACACACATTCCTCTGCTCGTTTCCGCATAGCCTTCACCTCTCTCCGTTCGCCACTCCGCACACTTCCAGTCGCCAATTCCTTCCCTCACCTCACTGACTCCTCTCTCCTCCCCCAACCAACCCCAACTCAACGTGCCCCCTCCTCACAGGTCCTAGGCGAGGGGCAACCTGAGCTGCTGACGTTCTGGAAGGAGTTTTTTGTGGGGTCACGGAACCTGCTGGAAGAAGCACGCAAGGTGGAGTTTGGCGCGCTTCAAGAGGCTGTGTCAGAGGTTGAAAAGGAGGCTGCGGCTGCTAAGAGAGAGCTGGCTGCTGTGGACAAGCAGATGGAGCAGGAGAGAGAGCGCAGGGAGAAGCTGGATGCGGAGAGGAAGGCGGAGGAGGAAGTGGAGGAGGGGGAGGAGAAGGAGGAGGGGAGTGTGGAAGGGTTGAGTGAGGAGGAGAGGAGTCGGAAGGAGGAGGAGAGGAAGAAAAAGGAGGAGGCGAAGGCGAAGAGGGCAGAGGAGGCAGCTGAGGCAGATCATAAGGGCAAGGAATTGGCGTCAATGCACGAGGTACGGAGGAGGGCGTTGGGAGTAAACACCCAAAGCTATGGGATGAGGTTCCGGGCTTGCTGTCATGGGTTGAGCTCCGTGTGAAATACTCTTCAGAATTCTCAAAGATTGGTGGGAATCTCTCACTGGTAGCAACAGGCTGTGGTTTCAGTCCGGGCTTTCCTTGTGGTGTCTATGGCAAGCTGAGGCTGTGCTGTGCGTGCTGTCCCCTTCCTCATGGCATGGCAGGCCCTGGAGTTTTTTATCAGCAATGAGGTGGAGCCAGTGCTGTCGCAGCTGCACGACCTGCACTCCCAAATGGTACTCTCCACTCATTGCCTCTCTCTGATTCCTCTCCCCAATGCCTCTCCCCAATGCCTCTCCCCAATGCCTCTCCCCAATGCCTCTCCCCTATGCCTCTCCCCTATGCCTCTCCCCTATGCCTCTCCCCAATGCCTCTCCACAACGCTTTGTTGCTCTCTGCTTTCTTTCAGCAACCCCTCAGCCCGCTCATGCATATCCACCCTCTCTCGATATCTCTCTTCGTTCTCCCTCTCAACCCATGCATGTGTGGTGGACGTGCAGAAGGAGACAACAGTCTCCCTGTCACGCTACTTTGGAGGAGATGCCAAGACTGCTCCTTTCACACTCAGTATGTTCACTTCGCCCAGTTCACCACCTGCCTCCCTCTCCTGATCACCATCATCTTCTAATCCAGCATTCCGCTCCCTAGTTTCTGTCCTGGTCTGGTGCTCCCTCCATTCTCCGCCGTTCTCCTCTGCTTCCTCTCGCCCCACTTTTGCCCGTCCTTTTGGTATAAATAAGACGTCATCTGCCCACCCGTGTCTTGCCCTCTCCGTGCGAGCAGTTGCTGAGGTGCTGAGTGATTTCATCGCCAAGTTCCGAGCAGACGTGGCGGACTATGAGAAGAAGAAGAAGGCCCTGGAGGAGGAGCAGAGGCGCAAGAAGAAAGCAGCGGAGGAGGAGCAACGCAAGAGGCAGGCGGAGCTGCTCAAGGAGCAGCAGCAGGCAGAGCTTCTCAGCCGCGTAGCTTCCAGCAGAGAGGGCTTGCTGGAGGCCGTTAGTAGAGGCGACAAGGCCGCTGCTGCTGCAATGGCAGAGGAAGAGGCGGAGGAGAAGGAGAAGGAGGAAGGTGGAGGGGTGGCAGGCGGGCGGGCAGCTTCTCTGTCGCGAGCAGCGGTGGTAGCGGCAACCATGGCTGGAAGGCGCAGTGCCATGGATGATGGGTCTGAGTCAGATGATGACGAGGAGGAGGATGATGATGCAGTGGTGGTGGCATCGCAGCCATCGCATGACAGCGTGGGGTCGTCGAGAGCGTCAACGGCGGCTCTGCTGCGAGCGCATGTGCAGCAACGCAGGGCGGTGGCGCTGTCGGATGACAGTGAAGAGGAGTCGTCTGACGAGGACGTGCCACAGCAGCGTGCGGAGACTGTGTCTATTCCCACGCCGTTGTGACCTGTGGTTATTGCCTGGTCGTCCCTGAGGGGGGCTGTTCCTGCTTCTGCCGTACCTCAGCTGGGCACGCTCTGTTTGTATAATGCTGCAAAGCATATGCGATGGTCAGGTGGATTCGGTGAAGGCTGTGTGTGGGCATTTAGTGACCTGTTTGGGATGGATTGTTCAAGGGCAGGACAGGGTGTGTCCATTGTAGGTACCTAGTCGTCCTTTGTAGAAAAGTGTTGTTTCAACTCCAGGGTTTCGCGGAAGTAGGATATAGGGCTATGGATGGATGGAAAGCCGTAGGCATGTCCTCTATGCTTTGGCTTCCCTCTTCATGCAATCAGGATGTGGTAGTGTCTGGTTACCTCTTATTTTTTATATTGTGCATGGGATTATGGTACGGTATTATGGATCTGGATTTTCCTCCACTTTATCCAACTGTTTTTCCTTGCAGGAAATAGCCGGGCAAGGGTTTAGGGCTGAAGCAGTTCCGTTCAGTGTGTGCGTTGTCGCTTGGAGCGGTGTCGTGTGCTTGGTGGATTGTCCCTTGGATTTATCGTGCTTACGTGGAACCTGAGCCCAGTCTGGTTTGAAGGGCAGGTGGTTTCTTGGCTGTAGATCAGTTTGCCACCTTGCCATGGATGTAAGGTTGGCCTGTTGACGAGGGGTACGAAATATTCGATATGTAACCCAGCATCGTTCGGCTCTTGTTTTCGCACGTCGGAGTTGCAGAGGATGTCGCCAGGTTCGGCAGATTGGCTTGGGATTCGGGAACCCTACTCCGGTGGGTCGCCTGCCTCGTCTCCCCTTGCAGAAGCCCACACACAAGAGGTACCCTGGTCAACCCACAGGGCCACCGAGTGCTGCGAGAAAAACGTACTTTCGCTAACAGGATTTCCTGCAATATCCGAGTACGCGAAGCAGAGTTGCTCGAGCGAAATGTGAACCTGTCGCCATCGCCACAACTTTACCCTCTTGAACCTCCTTTCCTTACCTCCCTCTCTACGTCCCCTCTACCTTTCACATCCATTCATCTCTCATATCAGGCACTAGGTACTAAGGACCATAAGTGCACGTGCTGGTTGTGAAACCTTACAGTGGAATCCCTGAAGATCCAGATACCTGGAGCCGCGTCACAGCACCTTCCAGCTGGTTAGTTGTCGCAGTTTCTTGGTGTCTATCTTCAGTGCGAGGACACTCCTTTGCCGTACTTTATTTCTCACCGTCGTCCCTAGTTCTAACCCTAGATTCATCCCAGTTTCATTTCGTCCGCCTTCGTCTGTTTTGATTTAATACGAATCTTACGGCGTCCACTATTTTACTTTTCTAAGATCTTCGTATTTTCGATTCTCGGTCGTGTCCGTCTCCACCGTCCTGTCAACGCAGGCCTCGAGTGTGGGTTCGCACTCTCAAATCCTTATTAATGGATGATGCAAAGTAGGATGTATTGCGGAAGTTGCGATGTCTTCTGTCGTGTAGTGGATCTGGAGTTTGTCAAATTCTACTTGGATCTGCCTTCCTCTTTCACCCAGTCTGGCTTCTCTCATCTTTTCCATGTTTCAGAAGGACCTCAGTGTTAGCACTGTCCCGTCTTGAAATCCGTCCTTTTCCATTGTTGTACATAATACCTCCTGCTCTTCCTTCCGGCCTTTAACGCCTGCCTTGATGCGCTTTGTTTACGAAATCCGGCTTCTGTATCGCCTTTGTCGCACGCTGCTTTCATCATTCACGTAATTTCAAGGCTTGCCGGTCTGTTGTCCGTTGGTGTCGTGCAGGATGGCTGGGAACACAGGAAAAATTCGGTATGGAGTTCAGGAGCGGCAGACAGCAGAGAAGCCAGGCGTCCGCGAGTCATGGAAGACGGCGTCAAAACAAGCAGGCGCGGGGGGAACCGCAGCAGGGTTTCCTGCTGGCGCATACAATCCCATATCAGGAACGTTTCATAATATCGCCGGGGTGAACCCGGATGGTTCAGGGAATTCGCAGAACGGACGGTATCGGTCTTTTGAAGAAGGGGATGACACGGCGGGAGGAACTCAGGAGAGCGATGTTCTGTCCAACAGCGGGAGTTGTTCAGGGGAGTCGGAAGATCAAACAGGGTTGAAAGGGCCCGGTGCCACGTCGCGAGACGGACAGCAGCAAGCCTCGGCGGCGGTCCCTGACAAGAAGGACAAGATACGGGCCAAGAACGAGAAGAAACACCTTAGGCAAAAGGAGAAGAAGGCTCAGGAGTTGAGGGACAAGTGCACTGGGTTTCTCACCGCTCGGAAGCTCGAGAGTCTGGCGGAGCAGCTGGTAGCTATGGGTTTTTCTAAGGACAAGTGCACGATTGCGCTTATCTGCAACGACGGCAACCTGGAACGGTCGGTCACGTGGTTGCTCGAGGGGCAGGAGAGCAACGTTCGAGACGCGAGCTCCGTGGGGAATTTGAAGCTGGATGTGTCGGAGGAGTTGGCGCGCATGGCGCAGATGGAGCGCGTGGATGGGTACAACAGGACCGACATCGAACGCGCTGTTGTGGCGTTCGAAGGGGACTTGGACAAGGCCGCTGTGTTTTTGCGGGAGAAGCACCGCGAGACGTTGGCCCAGCAGCAGCAGCAGCAACAGCAGCAGCAGCAACAGCAACAGCAGCAGCTGCAGCAGCAAGCGCAGCAGCAACAGCAGCAGCTGCAACAGCAAGCGCAGCAGCAGCAGCAGCAGCAACAGCAGCAGCAGCAACAGCAGCAGCAGCTGCTGCAGCAGCAACAGCTGCAACAGCAGCGTAGGGAGGCAGGTACCGTGATAGCTGGCGTTGGCGTGTCCGCAGGCCCCACGAAGTTCTTAGGCAGAGGCGTTCCTCCAACGGGCGGGTTGTCCGGACCAGCAGGTCCTGTTGGCTATGGCTACGGGCATGGTCACGGTCAGGCGTCGGCTCATCCCGGCGCTCAAATCGGACAGCCTGCGCTGATGGCGGCGGGCATTTACCCTGGCCCGCCTGGTAGTGGGCTGATGGGGAATGCTCAAGATAGAGAGGACGATAGGCGCTATGTCAACGGCCAGCACGTCGGTGGTGCGACGCACCATCTCCCTCAGCAGCAGCAGCAGCAGCAGCAGCGCGTGCTTCCTGGCATGGGATCGTCCGCGCACCGGCCGCTACAGCAGGGGTCAGTAGATTCGGGAAAGATGGTCGGAAACGCCGGGCCGTACGCAATCAGAGCTGGTGCGGGGATGGGCTTGGGAGGTCACCCGCAGGCCGCATTTGCGAAGCACCATGTGCAGCCGCCGCACCTGGCTCAGTCCGCTCCGCAGCAGCAGGTGCCGCACCAGGCGCAGCAGGTTCATGGCGCACAGCAGCTCTACGGTCAGCATCCGCAGCAGCATCAACAGCAGGCAATGCTCATGCAGACCCAGGCTCAGCAGAAGCAGATGCTCGCGCAGTCGCAGCCGCAAGGCCTTTCCCAACCGCAAGGGCCATACTCGCAGCAGCGACAGGCGCAGGTTCAGCCGCCGCTGCAAGTCCAGCAGCATCAGGCGCCGCAGCATTCTCACGCCCAGCCGCCAGGGGAGCAGGCCTCGTTGCTGCATTTGCAGCAGAAGCAGCAGCCTGGCCCCGCAACGAAACAACAGCAGCAGCACTCGCGTCAACCGCAGCCTATTCCGCAGCAGCAGGCGCAAGCGTCGCAGGAAGCGCAGAAGCAACGCGAGCAGAAGCAGCGGAATACGCACGAACCGGCGCAAGTGCAGGGCGCTCAAAAGCAGGAAAAGAAGCAGTCGCCTGCCACGACGCAGGGGCGGCAGCAAGCGGGCGTCGTATCCCAGCAGCAGCAACCGCAGCAGAACCAGAGTCAGTCTTGGGAGGATGCTGGCACAGCCCGTGGTACCGTCGGTCTTTCTGAGAAGCAAAAGCAGCAGCAGAACGTCGAGAAAGAGCCGCAGGGGCCAATACCTGCGGGTCTTGGTCAGGCGTCTGGAGCGGGTCCGGGTGGGCAGGTCAGGCGCTCACCTGACGCGCACACGCAGCAGGCTGCCGCGGAGTTAGCTGCAGTGTCCTCGCAACTTAGTGGAATGGGTGTGAGCAGCTTCCAGGCAGGGACTAACCAGGTGGTAACTGCGCAGGATCCGTCTTCCATTGCCAAGGGTGGGCTTTCAGGGACGCCGGGAGTGAGTCCTCCACCAGGTAACTTTGTGGCAGCTCAAGCAGCTAGTCTGCAGCAGCAGCAGCAGCAGCAGCAGCAGCAGCAGCAGCAGCAGCAGCAGCAGCAGCAGCAGCAGCAGCAGCAGCAGCAGCAGCAGCAGCAGCAGCAGCAGCAGCAGCAGCAGCAGCAGCAGCAGCAGCAGCAGCAGCAGCAGCAGCAACAGCAGCAGCCACAGCCGCAGCAGCAGCAGCCGCCGCAGCAGCAGCAGTCACAGCATCAGTATCAGCCGCAGCAACCGCAGCAGCCGCTTCCGCCAATGCAGCAGGAGCAGCAGCAGCAGTTAAGGCCACTGGTTAGTGGTTCGCAGCATCTGAATTCCGGGTTTGGTGTTGCAAGCAACTCAAACGCGCTGCTGCCAACGGCGGGTGTTCCAATTGCCTTCGGCCTGCTGAGCGGCCTGGGCGTCGCAGGTGGTGCGCATGTGCGCCACTCCGCGGCCCCCATGATGCAGGCGCCTTCTCTGGGCTGGTCCGCTGCGGGTGCCATTCCGCGTGGGCCCGCGGTTATGGCTGGTGGGCCGCACGCGCTGTCCGATGGAACTTGGAAGGGGCCCATGGAAGCTGGTGCGGGTCTGCCTGCTACTCATTCCGCGCCCAGCATCTTTCCGGGTCAGCAGGGAGACCTGCTAGCAGCACAGCATCATGACCAGGGTCAGCAGCAGCAGCAGCCCGGAACGCAGCAGGCACAGCTGGCGCAGCAGCAGCAGCAGGCACAGCACGCGTGGCAGGTCAGGGGGGTGTCTGGGGCAGCAGGAGGAGTAGGCACGAACATGTCTGGGGGCTGGAGCCCGTTCAGTGGGACCCCGGATGGATCTGACCTGTCTGGCAAGTCAGGCTTGGACCCTACCTCTGGTCTTCCCATGGGGCTGGCTGCAAGCGCTGTGGCCTTCACTCCTGGTCAGCCGTACGTGCAGCAGAGGGCCGGGCCTGCTGGTGTGGCGATTGGGTCGCGACAGATGGGGGGTGTAGGCAGTGTCCCCCTGGAGTCCACTGCTTCTGGTGCCTCGTCTGGCCCGTCGTCCGAATTGATCCCACCCTGGGGCGCGTCCACCACTCTTGCTTCTGTTGACTGGAGCCTGTCCGGTGCGCCACTGGCCTCCCTCTCAACCCTCTCTCCTGCGCCTGATGCTCCTGCAAGGGCTGCTGCAGCTGGGGCGCTGAACGCGGGAGGGTTTGGTGTGCCGGGCGCAGGAGGTAGCGGTGCGTTTGGGAGGCCCGTGGCTGCGGCTACAGGCGGGCTGCTTTCTGCTGGGGGAGTGGCGACCGGCTCAGGTACGGCAGCTCTGGTCAGTAGCATTCGTTCAGTAGACTGGAGTGTGTCGGGGTCCCTTTCAAACGCCAGCGGAGGGAAAGTTGGTGTGGGAGGGGTTCTGGGAGGGGGTATGGGGATCTGGGGTGGTGGGACGTCTGGCTTTGCTGATCAAAGCGTGTCCAGTGGGGCTCTGGGCGGTCTTGGGGGGGGCAGTGCAGGGGGCATGCCTTCAAGCTCGGAGCCTGTTAGGGCGTATGATCTGTGGGGCCGGTCTGCCATTGCCGTGCCAAGCTCTGTGGGCACTGCCTGGCAGCAGCAGCAGCAGCAACAGGGCGTCCCGTGGCAGCCAGATTCCAGCAAGGAAGGGGATGGAGGGGGCACTAAGGAGCACACAGGTGGGGTGGCGGAGGCGAGGGCAGGGCAGCAGGTTAATGGGGGCGGGGATAAGAAGGCTGCTGATGCAGTGGAGGGGCAGGAGAAGGGGAGTGAGGCGCAGAAGACAGAAGTTGTTCAGGGGGGGCAAGATGGTCAGGAAGGTGGGCATGAGGAGCAGCGCAAGGGTATGGAGCAAGGAGGTGGGCAGGGTGGGGAGGAGCATGAGGCGGGTGAGGTTGGGCAGCAGGCAGCGGGCCCCGCAGCTGAAACCCAAGGGGACCAGCAGCAACGGACCGCGGCAACAGCAGGATGGCAGCAGAAGTCTGGGTCGGATGTTTCTCAGTTGAGTGGAGGTCCGGGAGGCAGCAATGTACAGGAGTGGACGTCTCCTTTTGCCGGCAAGGATTTTACCTCTCTTTTGCATTCTGCCGTTCCTCCCCAGTTTTAGGCTCTATCCGTCTGGTCTGCCACTGACATCCTTTGCAGTGAATTCTCAGTGAGTGATTAGACTCAATGTTGACAATGAATCACGTATTTTGATTTTTTTTTCTGTTTTATCGTTTACACTAGCAGTGGTATGTTGTCGGCGTATTATGTTAGCTTGTTGTGTGACTGTCGCTTTAGCGAAACGAGGGTTGAACAGTCTAGTCCGACAAACATGTGCCACAAGCCAACGAATCCCGCTCCTCCCAGCTTTGTGAGCTGCCAATTATGTGGAGGCTTCAATTGAATGCGTGGCTTGCGTCAACATTCGTGACAGACGAGCAATCACGACGACTGCTATTGGCTGCGGTTTGGCTCCTGTGGCTTCGATAGGTCTCCGGTCAATTTGAAATGCGATCCAATTTTCGCAGTGCGTGTTTGCAAATGCGATATTTTCGGGCAGAACCATGCGGCTGCCCGTGTTTAGGGTTGGGGCTCCCCGTGTTTAGGGTTGGGGCTCCCCTTACCGCATGCCATCCAGATGGGGTTTATTTTTTTCTGACCGCGGGCAGATAACGACCCCTCAGCTTCTTCCACTGGGGATCGCATTTGCAAACCGCGCTGGCCTAATTGGATTGTAGCTGAAGTTGTCCCATAGGTCTCTGCCAGTGCGCGACCCAAGGTTCTCGGGGGCGCCGAGCAGGCATCTAGAGAAGCAGCAGGAATCGGGATGGCAGAGTACGCGGCACCCACTTGGCAGTGGCCGATGGACTGCCCTCCACGGCACCCAGCTCGCGCCGCTTCCAACTTGTACAGGCACAAGGTGTAAGAGCCGTGTCACTTTTTTATTTCAGTTCTTCGGGCAGGAAAAATACAGTTCTTGGTTGGAGAAAAACTGTATGGACTTCCGGACCGCAACACTGTAGGTCCCGAACATGCGCCTTGATTTCATCGACCAATCTGCAGATGCGGTCCGGCAGAGGAAACCCCACTTTGCTCCCACCCCATCGCCGCTCTTGCGCGCTGCTGAGGTGGGCTGCCCACAGAAAATTGCGCAAGCACCCTTGAGTCTGCAAACAAACAAGTTCATCCTAGCTTCTAGAAGAAACGCAAGAAAATGCACGAAGGCCACAGTCCCTGGAAGAAAATAATTGGCACAGGAAAGCGAACCACGGACTCTGGCTCTCTCAAAAGCAGTTGACGAGACAGTCACCACTGCTACAATTCTTGGCTGTTTAAAGACTAAAATGCTCTCAGCCTAGTTGATCCTTTATCACATCTTGAACCCAACCTCTTCCTCGTTTCTGCTACGTGCTATTCCTTTGGACTGTCGACTACGTCAAAAAGTCAAAGCTGCCAGTGAACCCACTACAAGACGGGAAGTCATGGCGAAGCGCGTTGTGATTGCGGGTGGTGGCATTGCAGGGTCGCTTTTAGCCAAGCTCATTGAGAAAGACGCTGATGTGACGCTGATTGACAGGTATTCCAACCCACCTTCACACCTCCTCGCCACTCGCGGCTGGCAGCGTCTCACTAACGCATCATACCGAGTTTTTCGCCCGTTCAGCTCGGTCAAAATTAACTCGCCGATTTTTCAGCCCGCATGCTCGCTAGCGCTCCTCTTCCACGTCATTCTGCCATCTTTGGGAAATCAATCTGTACCATGTTCTTCCGTCTTTCCCCCTGTCCTGTCGCGCCGCAGCAAGGACTACATGGAAGTGCGCTGGGCCACGCCACGCGCCTTCGTGGAACCATCGCTGGCGGAGAAGATCGTGATCCCGCACACGGCGTACCTGCACAAGGCCAAGGCCGTCACCGCGCTCATCGCCGGCCTCTCTCTCGCCGCTGCGCCGGCACCCGCTAAGGCGGACGCCGACACAAAGGAGGCGAGCACCGACGAGAAGACAGAGGCGGCGGCTCCCGCGACTGAAACAGAGCCCAAGGAAGAGGTTAAGGAGGAGGCTAAGGAGGAGGCTAAGGAAGAGGCTACGGAAGAGGCTAAGGAGGAGGCTAAGGAAGAGGCTAAGGAAGAGGCTAAGGAGGAGGCTAAGGAAGAGGCTAAGGAGGAGGCTAAGGAAGAGTCTAAGGAGGAGGTTACGGAGGAGGCTAAGGAGGAAGTTAAGGAAGAGGCTAAGGAGGAGACTGCGGAAGAGATTAAGGAAGAGGTTAAGGCGGATGAGGCTACGGAGGAGGTTAAGGAGGAGGCTAAAGAAGAGGTAAAGGAAGAGGCTAAGGAAGAGGCTAAGGAAGAGGCTAAGGAAGAGGCTAAGGAGGAGACTAAGGAAGAAGCTAAGGAGGAGGCTAAGGAAGAGGCTAAGGAGGAGGCTAAGGAGGAGACTAAGGAGGAGGCTAAGGAGGAGGTTAAAGAAGAGACTAAAAAAGAGACGAAGGAGCAGGCGAAGGAGGAGGCGAAGGAGAGTGCGAAGAAAGAGGAGGCCGTTAAGGAGAGCGCGAAGCCAGCGGCAGCAGCCGGCGAGGTGCTGCTAGCGGACGGCTCGGCGGTGCCGTACGACGTGCTGGTGATCTGCACGGGCTCCGAGCCCTACACCACCACCACCCGCGACGACCGCCTCAAGTTCTACGCGCAAGGTGCGTCTGTGCCGTCCCTGCCCGACCGGCGCTAGTGGCAGTGCGTCGTTTCTGGGAGACCAAAGAGTTCTCTAGTTGTTGAGGTTTCTGTGTAGGGGTTTGATAGGATGGGTAGAATGAGTGCTTTACCGTGCGTTAGAGGAGTGTAGCTAAGGCGTTCGGTTTGCTGTCCCTGCCGACCCCTTTCCTTACCTTGTTCCTCTTTTCCTTGGTTCCGTGTTCCCTCCCTCCCTCCCACCCTGGCGGCCGCGCGGTTGTGGCGGGCAAGAGCAGAGAGCGAGAAGCTGAAGGCGGCGAAGAGCGTGGTGGTGGTGGGCGGAGGGCCGTCGGGCGTGGAGCTGGCCGGGGAGATTCTCACGGACATGCCGGGCAAGAAGATCACCATCGCCACCGGCGGCGCGCGCGTGTGCGAGTTCCTGAAGGCGAAGGGCAGCGACAAGATCCTGTCGTGGCTGAAAGGGCAGGGCGTGGACGTGCTGCTGGGCGACCGCGTGCAGGCTTCCTGGGGTCAGTGCCATGGCAGTGATGTGTGAGGAGTGGGGAGTGAGGAGTGGGGAGTGAGGAGTGGGGAGGCAGCGAGGGGATAGCGCGTGGAGGGCGCTCAGTGTGCTCGCTTTTGTCGTTGCGCAGGCAGCTTTGTGCTTGCTTCCAGGCGTCACCATCCTCTCCCGTGCCCCGTGTTGACGATGTATCGCAGATCAATTCGGCAGCAGCGGTACGCTCAAGACGGACGCGGGCAAGGAGCTCACGGCGGACTATGTGGCCATCGCTGTGGGCGCGCGCCCTTACACCGCCTGGCTCACAGGTCAGACCAGGGCGATTTGTGGGAATAATGAGGGGGAGGGGTGAGGGAAGTGGGTTGCGGAAAGGAGGGGAAGGCGCTTGGGTTGTGTGCAAATCAGCACTGCCTGGTTTGCGTTTTTTTGCATTTTACTCTGCGCTTGTGCGTTTCACCACATTCTTGTGCACTTCGGAGTCGCCTCTTGCAGTGCCCTGTCCTCACATTCAGGATGACTGCACATTCCCGTGTTGATGGTGGTGTGTCTCGCCGTATCTGACCACTGTATGTGCTGTTGTGGTATTGGTGCATGTGAGCAGACGCCCTGGGCGCAGCAGTGGAGGATGGGCGAGTGAAGGTGGACTCACACCTGCGTGTGGAGGGCCATTCCAACGTGTTTGCCATCGGCGACATCACCAACATCAAGGTGTGCTCCCTTCCCGTGGCTCTTGCTCCTACCACCCTGCCATGCTCGCCCGGCATGCCTTGATAGCGATGCGTCGTACGGCCCTTCCTTATGGCATTGCTTCCTTGCCTCGTCTCGTCTCTTCCCACCATGTGCAGGAGAACAAGCAAGGATACTTTGCGCAGGAGCATGCCCGCGTGGCGGCATCCAACATCCGCAAAGTGCTCAAGAGCAATGGCAAGCCCACCACGCTCAAGTCGTATTCCCCGGGTATGGATGTGGCCATTGTCTCTCTGGGCCGGAAACAGGGCCTTGCGCAGCTTCCCTTTGGAACCTTCATGGGGTGGGTACCCACCAACATGAAGAGCAAGGGGCTCTTTGTCAACAAGATTCGGAGTGAGCTTGGAGTCAAGTAGTGGGCATGTAGATAGATGTGTATGTTATGAGTTGGCGTAAGTTGGGTTGGTAGCAGGCTGTAGCAAGACGTTTTTTTTCTTGTTGATTTTGTAGGCTGCTTGGTTTGGGTAGACGTGCAGGCAGTGAGTTGATGTAGATAGTGCAAATAGTTTAACCTGTATTATTTATTAGTATTAAGTATATGTACGTTCCAGTAGTGTGGTGATGTGGAGAGAACCAACCCACCTCTGAAAGACTTCGACCACACAGGATGCCAGACCGAACCCAATTGTGGAAGGAATAGGGAGAACGGTCGAGGGCAGACAGAGCGCAGCGTGATGCGCGCGCGTGCCTGTCCCCAGACCAGCTCCATTCAAAGTTCCAACCAATCCCGAGACTGCAGTTTTCTGGATGCGATTGTCGTACAGTACAGTAGACTCTAGTTGCCTGCCGTGCCGTCACGTCATCCTACCACGCCTGCCATTACACTCCATCCTGCCTCCTACGCACTCGCTTGCTCGTTTAATCTGTCCGTCAGATCTACCGGATCTCGCGGATGTGCTTGCCCGATTTGTTTCGCCGTTGGATGGAGTGTTGGGTTAGCTAGTCTCCTCGCGCTGCTCCTCCACCTGGCTCGGCCGATCCGATCCCACGGTCTCACTGTCCCATTGCCACGATGTTCTTTAGAGGTACTCTGCTATTTATTTCCTGGGAAATTCGGGATGGACGGACGCCGTTGAATCATGTTTGGAAGTGAATGACTTTCTGCTCTTTCCTCGCTAGGCGCTTGTTCTCTCCTTAGCAATACATCGCTCGTAGCCACGCGACTATTCACTCTACGTCTTAGAAATTTTCGAGAATTGTCTGGACTTGCGAGTGACTTGACTCACGCGCCTTGCGTGCGCGCTTGCGCCATCGGCGCATTGACAGGCGCGGCGGCGCAGGATGGCGCTATCGGCGCTGCTCCTCCCCCTGCAGCGCCTGATCGCCGATATCGAGCTCATTTTCGACCACCGCCTCCCCTCCGCCGCTCCTTTAACCTCCCGCTCCCCGCACTCCTCGCTCTCCTCTCTCTCCTCTCTCTCCGCGGTCGGCTCCTCCTCTTCCGCCGTCTCACCTTCCCGCGCGCCCTCTCGCGATAACAGCGACGATAAGAGCAGTCGCTCGAACCGCCGAGCCGCCATAGCTCTCGTTCTAGTAATCGCCATTGCGGGCGTCACGGTTTCCCTCATTCTCGCGTGCTCCACCAGCGGCTCTCTCTCGCCGCGCCGCCTTCGTTTCAGCGAGCACGAACCGCCGTACGGCTCGACAGCGGCGGACTGGAATCGAGTTCAGAGTCCATCAGACGGTGCCGCCAGTAGCAGATCTGCTTTTAGCGGGGATGAAGGGGACGACGGGCCTGGAACCCCTTCCGCGGGTAGGGGCTGGTGGGGACTGACTCGAAGCGCGCAAGCGAAAGCTTCCGCCGCGGCAGCAGCGGCGTCTGCCGAGGTGCGCTTACTGCTGAGCCTGTTCCGCGTGACGGCGCTGGGGCAGCGCCTGGCGGAAGCCGTCACGCTGGAATGCACGGATGCTGTCGTCCGCGCACCTGAGCCGCAAGCCAGCCTCGCGTCCCCTTCCGCCACTGCCGCTGCGGCTGCAGCTGCGGCGGCATCCGGATCGCTGGGATCCGCTTCCGCATTGCCTGGGTCTTCCGCCGGTTTCGGCGCAGGCGCAGATTCAAGCGCGCGCATCGGGGCGGACGGGGGAGATTTCGCGGAAGATGGTTCCCTCCCTGGCGCGCACCCCGCCAGCGGCGCATCAAGCAGCGCGCGTTCCGCGTCCGCGGAGCGCACAGTTGCGTGCAGCGCGCGGGAGAGGGCGGCGGGCGCGCCCCTGGCGGCAGTGAAGGCGCACAGAGTATCCGCGGAGGACGAGGTGCTACTCGCGCTGGTGCGCGGGAAGAAGGCGGAGAGGGAGCAGATATCACTAGGCGTGACGGACCCTGCTATCGCATTCCTCTTCCTCGCCCCGCCCAATGCCGCCCTGCCGTCCCCAGCTGTTTGGAACCGCTTCTTCGAGGTATGCCCAGGCCCAAGACCTCCATTCCCTCGCTCTCAGCCCCACCCACCACCGCGCACCCCTGGTTCTGGGTTCTTCGTTCTCCCCCTTTCCCGACCCCTCACGCCTTCTCCCTTGCACCTCCTCCCCCTTCCCTGTAGGCTGTTGCTCTCTCGCTTTGTACCCAAGCGATCCGACTTGTCTTGTTCACCGTCTTCCCCCTGACTTCCACCTTTCCGCCTCCCCCACCCCTTCCTTCCCCCCGCCCCTCCCCCGCCACTCCGCGGGCACCAACTGGGCATGGGTGTGCGGGCGGGCAGGGCCACGAGGGGAAGTACAACGTGTATGTGCACGTGCATCCGGGCGAGCACTCACAGACGCTCTTCTTCAACGACTCCCTCGTGCGCGCTCACCATGTGCGTGCTCTGCATGCGTGTGCGTGCATGGGGTGCATGCGTGCATGGGGTGCATGCGTGCGGATGCTTTGACCCGACCCAATCAAGCACATCTGGCTGGTTGCATTTGTCGTGAGGAGGGATAGGGATTGGGGGGATGAGCTTATTTGTGTGAACATCTTGAATGTGTTCATTCGTGTGGAACAAGTGTGTCTGTGGGTGCATTTCTTTGTGTGTGTGTGTGTGTGTGTGTGTGTGTCTCCGTGTGTGTGTGCATGTGAGCATGAGCAGTACAGGGAGGGGGACATAACAGCAGTGGATGCGTTGAGGAGGCTCCTAGCCCCCGCTCTTGCCAACCCTCGCAACTTCCGCTTCCTCATCCTCTCCCCCTCGTAAGCACCCAACCCTCCACCCAGCTTTCTTATCTCCACATTCTATTCCGCTCTCTCCCCCAGCAACCCCACCAATTCCCCCCCCCCCCCCCCACCTCTTCCCTTCCTCCTCCCCTAGACCGCGTCCTCCCCACCGTTCCATGCACTTAGCTGGCCGCGCGTCCTCCTCCCTCACGTTTCCCCCTCCTTCCTATTCCCCTCTCCCCCGTGCACGCTCCTGTGTGCTGCTCTTCTCCCGCATCCCTCCTCTTCCCCTACCCCCCCCCCCTTTTCCGCTCCCCCTCCCCTCCGCCCCGCGCCCCCCATCAGCTGTGTGCCAGTGCGCAACTTCACCACGGTGTGGCGCTACCTCATGGCGTCGCCCCTCGCCTACCTCCACAGGTCACTCTCCCAGCCCCTCCCCTCCTCATCCACTGCCCACCATTCCTCACATGCCATGGCAGCTCTGTTTGCACCACCGCTTTCTCTCTCCTCCATCTGTGCCTCTGTCGCTCATTCCAGCCCGCACTCAAAAATATGCTTTCGAGAACCTGTTGCCTCTGCTCCTGTCGTTGCAAATCTTCTTTCCTCATCCTGTGTGTACGCCCCTCTCTCTCCCTTTTCCCCTCTCCGTCCGCGCCACCTGCCCTCGCCCCGCCATGCAGCTCCGACCCAGAGCCCTCCCCATCCGCCTACTCCCCGCACATGGCTCCTGACGTGCGCCCCCTCCAATTCACCGCCGGCTCACAGGTTCTCCCTGCTCCCTCGCACACACCATGCCCCATGCCCCGTTCCCCACGCCCCGTTCCCCATGCCCCATGCCCCACTCCACTTTCCCCAAGCCCCATTCTCCATGCCCCATTCCCCATGCACCATACACCATGCCCCATGCCCCATGCTCCCCCACTTACACCTTTCTCACCCTCCCACCCTCCGTCCCTCCTTTCCGCCCGTCCGCCCCCATCAGTGGATGGCGATCACGAGGCGCCATGCATACGCCATAGTGGAGGACCGGGCAGTCTACGCCAAGTTCGCTGCCTTCTGCCGGGTCCGACGCCGGCCCCCTCATTCTCCCTCCCTCCCTCTCTCTCTCTCTCTCTCTCTCTCTCTCTCTCTCTCTCTCACACACACACACACACACACACACACACGCACACACTCATTGTATTGCACCATGCGTGCCATGAGCACTCTGTGGCACAGAGTGCGTTGGAGCGAACCACTGCCCCATGTGTTCTCCTGTCATGTTCTCTTTACCATCGTGAGGTTGCCAACTTGCCATGCCATAACATCATCGCACCCTCGCTTTCCCGCCCTCTCATCTTGCACAGTGATATGACTCCTTGTGCTCGTTCTCTCATGCACTAGCGCACCAGTCGTTGACAGTCAGTCCCACATGGCTTGCTACTGACATATCCCATGTCTACCCCTGCCTCTCCCTCTCATTCTTCCCACTCGTGCGTGGCCTTGCCCTTCCATCCTCCCTGCCCTCCCTGTCTCAGAACGACCGCTGGCACCACCACTGCAACCCCGCCCATCACTACGTCCCCACTCTCCTACGAGTAAGCCCCCCTCCTGCTCCTCCTGCCGCCACTCTTACAGATTCCGTTCTGACTTCATGCTGATGCCGCCACTCTTGCTGATTCGTCCTCGTGTCTCACACTGCTCACTCTTAGCCCGTGCCCCATCATCCTCTCGTCCGTTTGCGCCTTGCTTGCCATGGCGGGGTGTGAGCAGGTGACATGGCCGGACAGGGTGGCCAACAGATCAGTCATCTACGCGCACTCGCCCTCCTCTCACCTCCTCGCCCCACCCACCCTCACCCCCTCGCGCATCTCCTCCCTTCTCCTGCACAACGTGCAAGTAAGCCCCGCCCAGCTCTCAACTCACCAGCCATTCTTTCTTCCACACCGCATGTTAAATCCTACCCGCAAACTTATTTGTTGCACACCAAATAACCCCATGCTGACTGCATGCATGCAGACAGGCATTCACAGACCTGGTATGCACCACGTGAGCCAGTCTACTGTGCCAACGCTCACCCTCTGTTGTCCCCCATGAGTTCCCCCATGTGTCCCCCCATGTGTTTTCCCATGTCCCCATATACATTTCCCCTGTGTGTCGCATGTGCCCCATGTGCTCCCCCGTGCGCCCCTCCATGTGCCCTCCATGTGCCCTCCATGTGCCCTCCATGTGCCCCCCATGTGCCCCCCATGTGCCCCCCATGTGCCCCCCATGTGCCCCCCATGTGCCCCCCATGTGCCCCCCATGTGCACCACTGCAGGAAGCGAATCACTACTACACAACCAGTCAAGCCAGTGTAAGTCCCTCCTGCAGCGTCATTGCTGCCACCATTTCATTCCTGTGTCCCACTGTCCCCAGGCACTCACCGCTTTGTTTCTGCACATGCACATGCACTGACTCATATCCAAAAACATGCATCGCTTTCGCCCATTTGCCACGTCCCAGCCAAACCTTTGATGTGATGATCAGTGCCTGCTAGTTGCATCCTCCCACCTCATCCCTCCCTCTTCCTCCCCCTCCTCTCCTCCCCCCCGTCATGTCCACCCGTCCCTCCCCTGTCCACCCACCTCCCTGTCGCTGCTTGTGCACTGCATGCTTGGCATCAGCATACTTCTGTGCGGCGTTGCATCGTGGATGCCCGCCCCGCAAAGTGCTTCCTCTTCCTCTCTGGCCTCACTCCTGCTGCTGTGGACCGATTCAACTCTCTGCCACTCCCACTGCTCGGTTATTGATTGACGCACCTTCTACCCTCCACGTTCTTCATTTCTCCACAAGAATCAAGCCCGGTGGATGTGCGTTCTGTAGTGCTGCAGCACGTGCATGGTCAAAGCAGGCTTCAACCAAGAGCATTGAACTGCGTAGATAGGCCTAATGCAACAAGTCAGTGGTCTCTCTCCCAAGGGCATGTCCCTCCTGTGCCTTGACTGACTCTCCACAGCATGCATCTGTCCTGTCTTGAATGTTACATTGCATGTACGGTATTGACAACTGGTTGCAGTGCCTTTCTCGTTTGTGCTGCCAATCAGCGTGCACGACCCCGAGAGGACCCAACGGCGGCCATTTGCTTGATTGATTCAGCACTCAGGCCATGTAGATTCATGTGTTCCCAGTTTCGTGTTCCCTGTCCTGTATTCCCGGTCACGTGCTCCAGTGTTCTCCCATGCTCCCTTGTTCTCCCATGAGACCCCGTGGCCGGGCCGTGGGTCCCCGTGGCTTTGCCCCTTGGCTTCCCTTGGGATCTCTTAGGTTCCTTTCGGTTCTCTTGGTTTCTCCTGGGTTTTATTGGGTTCTTGTGGGTTCCCCCTTCGGTTCTTTTGGGTTCAAATGGGTTCTTTGGGGTTCCCCTCAGTTCTTTTCTTGGGTTGTAAAGAATAATCGGACGAGTACTAGTACCGTATCACATATAGTGTGATTATAACTAGTGAAATCATAACTTAGGAATCACATTGGAAACCCAAAATACTGTTCCAACTTTAACAGCCACTGCAAGGTCTGTTAGGGAGACGGAGGAGCAAAGGACGAGAAAGAGAGTGTGCCTCCTTGAAATAGAGGCTGGTGCAGGTGGTGAGGGAGAGTAGAGGAAGTGGAAAACACAGAGTAAGCAGTTGCACGACAGCGCGAGATTCCTATATAAGATATACCGTAGCCTGTAGCTGATGATTCGCCTGCCCACAGGTAGTGGACATGGCATGTGCTGTGGATTCATGAAGGGTACTGGTAAACTACTGGAGTTCCATGCAAGAGGTCCTTCCTCCTCCTCAGGCAGCTCGCAGGCTTGACAGGTGTGCGGGAGCCAGTGAACGCCTGCAGGCAGGAGAAGCAGCAAGAAGCACCAATCACAGGGAGGAATGACAGAATGAGAAAAAATGACAGAAAATGGGACGTTGCAACAGGCCGGAACAAGCAGGAAGACTGAGAATGATGATGACAGCATAGGCAGAGGATGGAACACAGTACCCAAAAGGGTCGCTTGATAGGTGATGGCACAAGGGTAGGCGGTCAGGAGCAGCAGCGCAGCAGTCTCTGCACGTCCGTGGCAGTAGACGATGCCGCCTCCACCACCTCCTCCACCGCACTGCTCCTCGCCGCCGCACTCGCCAGCCCCAGCAGCTGCTGCAGCTCCGCCACAGGCGCTGCCACCTCTTCCCGTCTCCTCACTATCGCCGTTCTCAACTCCTTGCACGTGCACCCTGCTGCTCTCAACAGCAACACCTGCACCTTTAATGCTAGCTCCGCTCCACTGGTCTCCTCCCCTGCCTCGGCCCCTCCCTCCTGCTGCTGCTGCTCCAGCTCCTGCAGCTGCTGCACCGTGCTGGCAAGAACCGTGGTGACATCAGGGATATGCGGAGCGAGAGCAAGCCCTACGTGGTCGGGAACAGCGTGAAGCAGCAGAGAGAGGCAGTCTGAAGCAATGTCTGCAACCACAGGGTCTGGGTCCGCACAGAGGTGCACAAACACGCGCGTGAACTCTGCCAACTGCTCCACCTCCTCCTCGCCCGCCCCGCCTTCCTGCTCCCCACTGCCGTTATCCGCCACCTGTCGCTCCAGCACGAGCAGGCAGAGAGACACAACAGGGTCGACAAAATCCGCCATGGCACACTGCCACACGTGCTCCAGCAGCGCACCCATGCGCGGCACCAGGTGCAGGTGCGCAAACGCACGTTTGTCCACTGCAGGATTCGCGGCCAGGATGAGGCACAGGCGCAGCGTGTGCATGTTGATGGCCGCCGGCTCGCCCACGAGCCTCTCAAAGAAGCACGCCGCCAGCCCCAGTGACAAAATGCTATCCACTGACACGATCGAATGGTCCAGGAAGTTCACGAGAAGCTTCTGGGCGAAGGTGGGCACAGGCTCATCATCAGTCATGAGGGAACCATACAGCGGCAGCACCTCGCTGCACACCAGCTCCTGCACCACTGCTCGTGCCGCCTCACACTCCACCTTCACCCTCTCCCTCTCCCTTTCCTCCTCCCCTTCCCCTTCGCCTTCTCCCTCCTGCTGCGCGCGCCCTTGCTGTCTGAGAGCAGTGAGATGGTCCAGCAGCAGGGCGAACAGGTCGCCCATGACCTTGATGCACATGAACCGCGTCTCGCCTGCTGGTGCCTTGGAGTAGAGCTGTGCGAGGGCGGGTAGCAGCCCACTGGCGAGCGCTGCTGTGTGCTGCAGCAGCTGCTGCGGCTGCTGGCACAGCGCCTCCACTGCCTGCAGCACCGCTGCTAGCAGCTGCTCCAACGGCTGTGTGGGTGGGCGGAAGGGGAGGAGTGGAAGGGTGGAAGAGAGGGGGGTGGCGGAGAGGAGGAATTATGGGTGATGCAGGATGGGTCAAGAGGGACTGCCGAGAGAAGAATCACGTGTACACACTCTGGCACAGAGAGTGTGGAGCACAATGCGTAAAGCAAAGGGGTTGAAGCAGAGGGACTCACGTAGAGCGATGCAGAGCTGGCGAGGCAGAGGGAGAGGCAGTCAGTGAGCTGCTGCAGCAGCACTGCCTCCACAATGAGCGGCCGCAGCAGCGGGCTCGTCATGATCATCACCACCACCGCAAACATGTCCACTATGCTCGCCTGCAGCGCCTGCTGCTGCATCGCCTGCTGCTGGGTCGTATGCGGGGACGAATCCCCTGCCCCCCCCCCACTGCCTGTCCTCGTTGCAGCCGCAACCGCAGCAACAGCAGCAGCAGCCGCAGCAGCAGCGGCACCTGCTTTGCGAGATAGGGACCCGGCAGAAGGGGACGGAGCAGAAAGGGCACCAGAAGGGATGGGAGAGCTGGCAGAGGCGGAGGTAGTGGCAGCAACAGCAGCCACAAGCACGGACACGTCTTGAGGTATTTGAGCCATGAGCTGTGCCGCTGCCGCCCCCACCGCACGCACCCCTGCCTCCACACACATGCCCACAAACGCCTCCTCCTTGCCGCCCGGCTTCGCCTCCCTCCTCACGCGCTCCAGCGCCGGCACCAGCTTGTGCGCGGTGCAGAACGGTACGAGCAGGCGCCAGTTGGTGCGCAGCAGCAGCGCAACACAGCAGAGAGCCTTGCCCCGCAGCACCTCCGTGGCTTGCTCCTGCAGCAGCAGCCCCACGGCCACTGCAGGCAGACCCCCCTTGTCCTCCGTCAACGCTGCCATTTGCCGTGCAGGCAGCTGCCCCGCTGCAGCAGCAGCAAGCGCCACATTCACAAGACTCAGCAGCAGCTGCTGCTCCCTAGGCGCCGCTTTCGCCAGCGCTGTGACCACCTCTTTAGGGCCGATTCGGTCCAGCACGAGCGCCACCCACGAGGGGGCGAAGCGCAGGATGCGCACGAGGCACGACCCGGCAGTGAGCTTCAGGTGCTCCTGCCGCGACGAGCTGTGCCGGAAGATGTGGCACAGGTTCCCCACCGTCTCCTGCGTGGCAAAGCGCGCCGCCCATGCGGGGCCCTCGCTGACAATATTCTCTATGGTCTTCACGGCATAGTGCATGGTCACCTCGTCCTCCCCTCGCCGCAGCATCGCCATGATTGGCGTCACCGTTGTGCCTGTCAGCTGCCACCCCCCTCCCCCCGCTGCCGCGCCCACCACTAACCCGCTCGCAGGGGACGGAGCAGCAGCGGCGGCAGCAGCGGCAGGAGTGGGGCTCTGCGTGGCGATGTAAAACGCCATTTCCCCCAGCGCAGCCATGGCGCGCCGGCGCACCTTCTCCTGCTTGTCGCGCAGGCACTCCGCCAGCACCCCCACCAGCCCGCTCGCCGCCAGCTCCCGCCGGATAGCCGTGGCGTGGCGCACCAGCAGCCCTATGGCGGTGCAGAGCTCCACGCGCAGCGCAGGCACCTTGCAGTTGCGCAGGAACTTCACGAGGCACACCATGAGCGGGCTGTTGATCACCACGTTCGCCGCGTCTGGATCGTACGCCAGAGACTCCACGTACTTGAGCACGTTCAGCTTATCCGCTAGGGAGAAGCTCCCCGACATCACCCCCACCAGCCGCCCCAGCATTGCGTCCGCCGCGCTGCTGCTCCCCCGCTGCTGCTGCCCCTCCGCGGCGGAGCTTCCGCCCGCCAGCTTGACGAGGTCAGCGGGGGCGAGCGGGTCCATGGGGAGGTGGCGCGCGTCGAAGGCGGGTTCGGGGAGCTTCTCAATGCGCCGGTTCAGCACGATGGGCTTCACTGCCACGTCGGACGCGTGCCACATCACGTCCACTGCTGACAGCGCCTTCTCCGCCTCTGCTGCTGCTGCTCCTGCGCCGCCTGCTGCTGCCGGCCCCTCGGCTGCCCGCCCCTCTCCCTCACTCCCGCGGCCTCCTCTCCCCTCTGTTGCCGCCTTGGCCCCCTGCTCTCTTCGCCCCTCCGCTGCTCCCGCCTGCTGCGCGCCCTCGCCCTCCGTATGCGCGCTTCCCTCCACCACATCCTTCCCATCCCCGCGCTTCTCCTCCCCTCCCCCGCGCACCTGCTGCTCCTCACCCTCTCCCTCTCCACTCCCTTCCGCCGCCAACCCCCCCACCACCTCCTCCTCCTCACCCTCCCGCATCCTTCCCTCCCTCCCCCCGTCTCTTCCCCCCGCGCCCTTGCGCGCATCCCTGGGGTGGCGCGCGGAGGAGGGGTGCAGGGGCGTGGCGGCGCCGCTGCTGAGGTCCAGCTCGATTTCCTCGGAGGTGACGCTACCGCCCGTCATGCTCGTCGTCGTCATGCTAGTCGTCGTGGTCGTCGTTAATGCCACTGTCGTCGCTGCCACTGCCGCGCCTGTCGCCACTGCGACTGGCGGCAGTGCTGCCCCTGCTCCTGTTCCTGTTCCTGCTGCTGCTGCTGCTGCTGTCGTGCGGGCCGGAGCCTCGTCCTCCTCACCCTCATCCTCCTCCTCCCCTTTCCCTCTCGCACCCTCCCCTTCACCCTCATCCTCCACATCCGAACTCCCGCGCGCATGAGTTCCCCGCTTCCGCGCGCGCCCCACCCCAGCCTCCTCCCCTCCGCTGCTCGCGCCCTCCTCGCCGCTCTCCACGCCAGCATCCTCGATATGAGCGCCGCGCTCCTGCTCCGCGCCATGGCCCCGTTCTTCCAAATCCACTTCCATGTCATGACTCGCTAAAAGCACCTCCTCCCGACTCCCCGCCTTCAGCCCTCCGCCGTGCCTGTAACTCCCGCCCGCGCCCTCGGCCCCCTCCGCGTCCTTCTGCAGGTTGCTGCGCACAATGCGCGACAGGCGCAGTACGCTCGCCGCCACTACTTCCGCCGACACCGCTGCTCCGCCAGCACTTGCCGCTGGTGTTCCGGGTGTTGCTGGTGCTACCGCTGCTGCTTGCACTGCTGTTGCTGCTGCTGCAACTGGAGGTGCCGCTCCCCTCCCCGGTCCGCCATCCCCGCCGTTCTCCCCGCCGTTTCCGCCTTTGCTGCCGTTCCCGCCCCCTGCCAAGACGTCTCGTCTGCCCTCCGCGCTCCCCGCAAGCCCCCCATCTCCCGCATTTCCGCACGCAGCCGCCACGTCCCCCAGCGCCACCCGCCCCTCCCGCTCACCCGACCCGCTCACCTCCCGCCCTTCCCCCGCTCCTCTGACCCCCCCATTCCGCGCTGCTGCTTGCGCCTGCGCCAGCGCTTGCGCCTCCGCTTCCGCCTGCGCCTGCGCGCGGAGAAAGTTCTTCAGCGCCGGTTGCGGCGGCAGCGGCAGCGCCTTGATAGGCGACTGCCAGAAGGGATGCTCCCTAAGCTCCTCCCACCCCATCCTGGTCCCAGGATTCTTATCCAACAGCCGCATCACAAGGTCCTGAAACTCCACCGAGGGTGTCCCGGGCAGGGGCGGGGGGGGCTCCGTGAGGATGGCGGAGACGAGCGCGGAGAAGGTGGGGGAGTGGAAGGGCGGGTGGCCGGCGTAGCACTCGTACATGACGCACCCCAGCGCCCACAGGTCGGACGCAAACGACAGCACCCCGCCCTCCTGCAGCAGCTCCGGCGCCATGTAGCATGGCGTTCCGCGCTTGGGCACCGCCGCCTGGATGGGGGGAACGGGGGGTCGGGGGGATGGGGGGAAGGTGGGAGAACAGTAGCACGCGGGGAGGAGGGAGGGACGCAGTGCGAGACGAAGGATGAGTGAAACGGGGAAGGGGTGTGGGCCGAGAATGGAAGACAGGGGGTGAAGTGACAGAAGAGTGGTGTATGGTTCAGCAGGGGCAGCATAGCAGCAGCGAAGCGCCACAGCCAAGAAGCCAAGCAGCAGAAGAGCTAGCGCAGCAGCGCGCAAGAACTGACCTGGGCTTGGGAGCCCTTGGCTATGTCCGTGAGACGCCTCGCAAGGCCGAAGTCACACAGCTGAAAAGCGCAGGCAGATATGCGGACACAGAGGGAGGGCAGGGAAGGGAGGGGGGAGCGCGAAGGAGAAGCGGGTCAGAGGCGGAGTGGGGGATGCAAGGACTTGGAAATTCGAGGAAAGAGTTGCAAGCGAAGCGGAGCAAGGTGAGAGTGCGCGCATGCATGATGCGCGCAGGAGTACCTTGGGTCGGCCGTTCTCATCGAGCAGCACGTTGGACGGCTTGAAGTCCGCGTAGATGATGCTGTTGGAATGCAGAAACCTGCCCGCATACGCACCCACGCACAGTCACACACACAGTCGCACAGTCGCTCAGTTACACACAGTCACACAGTCGCACACACGTGATTGCAGCGCAGGGACGGCCGTGCTGCGTAAGGTGCAAATTAGATGCGCGTGGGTTTGGACGGGACGGTGCAAGGGAACGAGGAGCAGGGCAGGCAGAGGGGAGGGGCTCACTGCAAGGCCTGCGCGCAGTCACGGGCGAAGTCATGAATGGACTCCTCCGGTAGCTTCGAGTCCTGCCAGGCACCAGCACGCAGGACAGGTACAGTGAGGGGGAAGAAGCGGAGACGAGGATCACGGGAAGACGGATGAGTTGGTCTACGTACTGGTCGGAGTGTGGGATGAGCGCGACAAGGAGGAGGAAAAGTGGGAGCGGGGAAGCTTAGGACGTGCCGCAGAAGCAAGGCAATATGACGACTGGCGGAATTGAGAGAGTGGGAGGCGGGAGTGGAAGAGGGGAGAGTAGGAGAAGGGTGGCGAACGGAAAGAGTGGGTGAGGGGGAATCAGGAGGGAGAGTGGAGGTGGGGGAGTGAGAGAGGGGGAGTCGTAGTGGGAGAGTGAGAGAGGGGGAGTGGTAGTGGGAGAGTGAGAGAGGGGGGGTGTGGGGGGCGGGATAGTGGTGGAGAGGGGAAGGGCATGCCTGTCGTAGAAGGGCAAGAAGATCGCCGCCCACACAATACTCCAGAATAAGCCACAGATGGTTGGCTGTCTCGTACCTGCACCCACACGCACGGGCGCGCGCACGCACACACACACACACACACACCAGACACAGCCACACGCCCACATCATACATTCAACAGCATGACGAGAAGCGAGCCACAGCGCGCAGCAGGTGGGGATACGTCAGCAAGGGCGGGACGAGGGACGAGTCGAAGAGCAGGGAGGCAAGAGCACGGCGTGCTGCGAGCATGGCGCGGTGGGAGAGCAGAGGTGCGAGCGAGCGGGCGGCGGATTGGCATGAGCGAGGACTGACCAGGCGTGGAACTTGAGGACGTTGTCGTGGTCCAACGTGTGGAACGTGCGCACCTGCACGCGCGCGCACGCCACGGTCAGCGTTAACCACGTGCAGCATGCAGCACTGAGCTTTGAGAACTGAGCATTGAGCTTTAAGCACATGGCCGCATGTAATAGAAGAGCATATGAGCGAGCAACATGGCAGCGAAACCACGCGAGAGTATGACGCAGGATTGAACTGGGATGCGGGCGGAGAGGCATGAGCGGAGTGAGGTGCGGACGATTCAGGAGAAGGGAGTCATGGGAGGGAACGGAAGGGCGTGGCGGGCGGCAGCGCGCACCTCTTGAAGGACTCTGGGCTTTTCGCACTTCTCGATGCTCTTTATGGCGAAATACTGCACTGTCTTCTTCTTGCGGCCCTTGTACACCACCTGTGCACGCACACCCACTCACACACACACGCACGCATGCACGCGCACACACACACACGCACAGAATCAACGCCAGACTAGCTGATGCACGCACTTGGCGTCGATGTGCTGTCCAGGCCACGGTGCCGCTGCGCAGTTGCGAGAGGCATACGTTGACTGCGTGTTTTGAGACGTCTCAAAACAGGCATACGTTGACTGCGGCGTGTTAACATAGATGGGCTTTGGCAATTATGGCTTTGCGTCCACGGGTGCGACCTTCGTGGCAATCAGAGCTCAGTCTGCAACCGAATAGAACCCTCCTCTCCAGTGATTTCATTGCAGGAAGCAGACTCAATCCATTTACTGTCGTCTCCATTCGCGGTCTCGCCTGTTATGGTTCACGTCCCATGCCTGCCTCTTAACGCGTCGCCAAGCGATGCCACATCATCCACGTCCTGTTTATAACGGATGTTCGCCGCGCGATATGACATGCTTGTGATGATAGGTCGGAGCGCAGCGATTTTTCGTCGGGAAGGGGCTGAGGAGAAGTTACGGTGAGATGGTAGCAACGGGAGCTTACCGAGTGGCGTCCCTTGCCGATCTGGTCGTAGATGTGATACTGATTCATAGCGTCGCGGCGCCGTAACTCACGCGCTCTTCACGACAGAGTGTACGCTTTCAGACGAGTGCTTTAAAAGCATTCATTAATCCCGCAAGGTGATCCGCTGGGAGGCAGCAGTTGATCGCGGCGGAACCAGCGGCAAATGCGAGATCTTTTATTCCTATAAACGACTAATCGAACCAACTTTCACAAGCCGATGGATTTGGCCCCAAAAAGCTTCAGGGCGTAGGCTTGTCTTGAAGCTGTGTGCAGATCCCACCTACAATTATGAGCAGCTATGTGTGTGAGAAGCAATCTCGATGATGCTCTCATGCTTCCTATTCCATGGAAATTGCCGTGCACATGAATGGGGAGTCATCAGCTGCACGCTCCAAAACACCCATCCTTTGGATGCCTCTGTTGGGAATGGTTTGGTGATTGTGCTGATTGGTGAGTTTGGTGCGAACCGCGTACCGCATCGGATGGCTCAGATGCGTTCGGCTTGGCGCCACAGAAGCCTTGCCGTTGCCTCTTCGCTGGCTCTGACTGGCCATGAACATTTGACTGGCCAGGGCAGGCCGGGCAGTTTTGCCATGACAGGGGAGGGAAGTCCATAATGGCACAGGGTGCAGTTGGGGAGGCAGGCATGCCCTGCTGGCACCTTCCCTCCACTTCTGGCAGGGAAGAAAACGAGTCGCGGGCAGTCGTCCTACGGAAATTCAGCCAATAAAAGAGGATATTTCTGTGGCTCGGTTATGATTTTCAAAATATTTTGCCGCCAATTCAACTCCACAGCTGGTGCTAGTGCGACCGATCACTTCCTGACAGTACACGACCACGAATACACCTCGTTTTCTAATTAGTGTTTCTTCACACAGAACTAACCTTAGATCAATGAAGTACTTTTACCGATAAAAACATCAGCATTAGTAGGCGATTACGGCATGTGATTAACAGAAAGCATCGAAATATTATACCCCTTTAGTGAGTAATTAACGCATGTGTGGGCTTATAAACACCGTGTTTCCATCACTAAGCCAACGCTTCCGTGTTCTGCAATCATCCTCATGTTTTGCAACCATCCTCGTGTTTTGCAACCAACCAGAAGCGTAAGTCGTCCTTGCATTCTACACGAAATTGTCCGGCTGACAGAACACGAAATTCTCCTAGGGCTGATGGACGATTGTAATAACCTGGGTGGCAGTGGATGTGTCTAGAACACGCCAAAGAAGGGATTGGAGATGGCAGCGTGCAGCTCTTGCCCCGTTACGTTGAGGATTTCCGGAATTGCCTTCTCTGCTGGCATCACCAGGTGCTCTTCCTGTGCGTCCTTCTCAAAGCCACAGAGCTGCAGGAAGTCTATGGCTTCAGGGAACACCGCAACACGATCCTGGTCAAGCATGGCAAGTGACAGGACAGTGGGGAGGGGAGACAGATTGTCATCAGTGGTTGGAGAAAGGCAGCGCAACGGGAGGGATAGAGCTGGGATGCGGCCTGTGAGGGCGAGTGTGGACGAGGAGGTAGGGAGGACATCACTTCGCATTCTAAAACGGTATACCAATGGCTTGCCACACAGGAACGAAAAAAAAAAACAAGCTGCAAATCCGGTGAGAGGGGGAGAGAGGGAGAGGGGAAGAGAGAGAGAGAGAGAGAGAGAGAGAGAGAGAGAGAGAGAGAGAGAGAGAGAGAGAGAGAGAGAGAGAGAGAAACAGGTTGGGCCGACCTGGAAGGCGGCATTGGCGAGGCGAATGCGGCGGAACTTCTCCTCGGTGGGCCGCTGTGCTACGTCGGCGGAACTTCTCGCTACGCTGGAGCCAGTGAACGCCTGCAGGCAGGAGAAGCAGCAATCACAGGGAGGTACGACAGAATGAGAAAAAAAAGGAGAGAAAATGGGATGTTGCAACAGGCCAGAACAAGCAGGAAGACTGAGAATGATGATGACAGCATAGGCAGAGGATGGAACACAGTACCCAAAAGGGTCGCTTGATAGGTGACGGCACGAGGGTAGGCGGTCAGGAGCAGCAGCGCAGCAGTCTCAACAGCAGCTCCTGCACCTTTAATGCAAGCTCCGCCCCACCGGCCACCTCCCCCGCCTCGCCCCCTCCCTCCTGCTGCTGCTGCACCGTGCTGGTGAGAACAGTGGTAACGTCAGGGATGTGCGGCGCAAGGGCGCGCCCTACATGGTCCGGAACGGCATGGAGTAGGTAAGAGAGGCAGTCAGAAGCAATGTCTGCAACCACAGGGTCTGGGTCCGCACAGAGGTGCACAAACACACGAGTGAACTCTGCCAACTGCTCCACCTCCTCCTCGCCCGCCCCGCCTTCCTGCTCCCCACTGCCGTTATCCGCCACCTGTCGCACGAGCACGTGCAGGCACAGCAACACAACGGGATAAATAGAATCCGCCATGGCACACTGCCACACGTGCTCCAGCAGCGCACCCATGCGTGGCACCAGGTGCAGGTGCGCAAACGCACGCCTGTCCACTGCAGGATTCGCGGCCAGGATGAGGCACAGGCGCAGCGTGTGCATGTTGATGGCCGCCGGCTCCCCCACGAGCCTCTCAAAGAAGCACGCCGCCAGCCCCAGTGATAAAATACTATCCACTGTCACGATCGAATGGTCCAGGAAGTTCACGAGAAGCTTCTCAGCGAGCGTGGGCACAGGCTCATCATCAGTCATGAGGGAACCATACAGCGGCAGCACCTCGCTGCACACCAGCTCCTGCACCACCGCTTGTGCCGCCTCACACTCCGCAGTCACCCTCTCCCTCTCCCCGCCCCTTCCCCCTTCTTCTTCGCCTTCCCCGCTCTGGGCAGTGAGGTGGTCCAGCAGCAGGGCGAACAGGTCGCCCATGACCTTGATGCACATGAACCGCGTCTCGCCTGCTGGTGCCTTGGAGTAGAGCTGTGCGAGGGCGGGTAGCAGCCCACTGGCGAGCGCTGCTGTGTGCTGCAGCAGCTGCTGCGGCTGCTGGCACAGCGCCTCCACTGCCTGCAGCACCGCTGCTAGCAGCTGCTCCAACGGCTGTGTGGGTGGGCGGAAGGGGAGGAGTGGAAGGGTGGAAGAGAGGGGGGTGGCGGAGAGGAGGAATTATGGGTGATGCAGGATGGGTCAAGAGGGACTGCCGAGAGAAGAATCACGTGTACACACTCTGGCACAGAGAGTGTGGAGCACAATGCGTAAAGCAAAGGGGTTGAAGCAGAGGGACTCACGTAGAGCGATGCAGAGCTGGCGAGGCAGAGGGAGAGGCAGTCAGTGAGCTGCTGCAGCAGCACTGCCTCCACAATGAGCGGCCGCAGCAGCGGGCTCGTCATGATCATCACCACCACCGCAAACATGTCCACTATGCTCGCCTGCAGCGCCTGCTGCTGCATCGCCTGCTGCTGGGTCGTATGTGGGGACGAATCCCCTGCCCCCCCCCCACTGCCTGTCCTCGTTGCAGCCGCAACCGCAGCAACAGCAGCAGCAGCCGCAGCAGCAGCGGCGCCTGCTTTGCGAGATAGGGACCCGGCAGAAGGGGACGGAGCAGAAAGGGCACCAGAAGGGATGGGAGAGCTGGCAGAGGCGGAGGTAGTGGCAGCAACAGCAGCCACAAGCACGGACACGTCTTGAGGTATTTGAGCCATGAGCTGTGCCGCTGCCGCCCCCACCGCACGCACCCCTGCCTCCACACACATGCCCACAAACGCCTCCTCCTTGCCGCCCGGCTTCGCCTCCCTCCTCACGCGCTCCAGCGCCGGCACCAGCTTGTGCGCGGTGCAGAACGGTACGAGCAGGCGCCAGTTGGTGCGCAGCAGCAGCGCAACACAGCAGAGAGCCTTGCCCCGCAGCACCTCCGTGGCTTGCTCCTGCAGCAGCAGCCCCACGGCCACTGCAGGCAGACCCCCCTTGTCCTCCGTCAACGCTGCCATTTGCCGTGCAGGCAGCTGCCCCGCTGCAGCAGCAGCAAGCGCCACATTCACAAGACTCAGCAGCAGCTGCTGCTCCCTAGGCGCCGCTTTCGCCAGCGCTGTGACCACCTCTTTAGGGCCGATTCGGTCCAGCACGAGCGCCACCCACGAGGGGGCGAAGCGCAGGATGCGCACGAGGCACGACCCGGCAGTGAGCTTCAGGTGCTCCTGCCGCGACGAGCTGTGCCGGAAGATGTGGCACAGGTTCCCCACCGTCTCCTGCGTGGCAAAGCGCGCCGCCCATGCGGGGCCCTCGCTGACAATATTCTCTATGGTCTTCACGGCATAGTGCATGGTCACCTCGTCCTCCCCTCGCCGCAGCATCGCCATGATTGGCGTCACCTTTGTGCCTGTCAGCTGCCACCCCCCTCCCCCCGCTGCCGCGCCCACCACTAACCCGCTCGCAGGGGACGGAGCAGCAGCGGCGGCAGCAGCGGCAGGAGTGGGGCTCTGCGTGGCGATGTAAAACGCCATTTCCCCCAGCGCAGCCATGGCGCGCCGGCGCACCTTCTCCTGCTTGTCGCGCAGGCACTCCGCCAGCACCCCCACCAGCCCGCTCACCGCCAGCTCCCGCCGGATAGCCGTGGCGTGGCGCACCAGCAGCCCTATGGCGGTGCAGAGCTCCACGCGCAGCGCAGGCACCTTGCAGTTGCGCAGGAACTTCACGAGGCACACCATGAGCGGGCTGTTGATCACCACGTTCGCCGCGTCTGGATCGTACGCCAGAGACTCCACGTACTTGAGCACGTTCAGCTTATCCGCTAGGGAGAAGCTCCCCGACATCACCCCCACCAGCCGCCCCAGCATTGCGTCCGCCGCGCTGCTGCTCCCCCGCTGCTGCTGCCCCTCCGCGGCGGAGCTTCCGCCCGCCAGCTTGACGAGGTCAGCGGGGGCGAGCGGGTCCATGGGGAGGTGGCGCGCGTCGAAGGCGGGTTCGGGGAGCTTCTCAATGCGCCGGTTCAGCACGATGGGCTTCACTGCCACGTCGGACGCGTGCCACATCACGTCCACTGCTGACAGCGCCTTCTCCGCCTCTGCTGCTGCTGCTCCTGCGCCGCCTGCTGCTGCCGGCCCCTCGGCTGCCCGCCCCTCTCCCTCACTCCCGCGGCCTCCTCTCCCCTCTGTTGCCGCCTTGGCCCCCTGCTCTCTTCGCCCCTCCGCTGCTCCCGCCTGCTGCGCGCCCTCGCCCTCCGTATGCGCGCTTCCCTCCACCACATCCTTCCCATCCCCGCGCTTCTCCTCCCCTCCCCCGCGCACCTGCTGCTCCTCACCCTCTCCCTCTCCACTCCCTTCCGCCGCCAACCCCCCCACCACCTCCTCCTCCTCACCCTCCCGCATCCTTCCCTCCCTCCCCCCGTCTCTTCCCCCCGCGCCCTTGCGCGCATCCCTGGGGTGGCGCGCGGAGGAGGGGTGCAGGGGCGTGGCGGCGCCGCTGCTGAGGTCCAGCTCGATTTCCTCGGAGGTGACGCTACCGCCCGTCATGCTCGTCGTCGTCATGCTAGTCGTCGTGGTCGTCGTTAATGCCACTGTCGTCGCTGCCACTGCCGCGCCTGTCGCCACTGCGACTGGCGGCAGTGCTGCCCCTGCTCCTGTTCCTGTTCCTGCTGCTGCTGCTGCTGCTGTCGTGCGGGCCGGAGCCTCGTCCTCCTCACCCTCATCCTCCTCCTCCCCTTTCCCTCTCGCACCCTCCCCTTCACCCTCATCCTCCACATCCGAACTCCCGCGCGCATGAGTTCCCCGCTTCCGCGCGCGCCCCACCCCAGCCTCCTCCCCTCCGCTGCTCGCGCCCTCCTCGCCGCTCTCCACGCCAGCATCCTCGATATGAGCGCCGCGCTCCTGCTCCGCGCCATGGCCCCGTTCTTCCAAATCCACTTCCATGTCATGACTCGCTAAAAGCACCTCCTCCCGACTCCCCGCCTTCAGCCCTCCGCCGTGCCTGTAACTCCCGCCCGCGCCCTCGGCCCCCTCCGCGTCCTTCTGCAGGTTGCTGCGCACAATGCGCGACAGGCGCAGTACGCTCGCCGCCACTACTTCCGCCGACACCGCTGCTCCGCCAGCACTTGCCGCTGGTGTTCCGGGTGTTGCTGGTGCTACCGCTGCTGCTTGCACTGCTGTTGCTGCTGCTGCAACTGGAGGTGCCGCTCCCCTCCCCGGTCCGCCATCCCCGCCGTTCTCCCCGCCGTTTCCGCCTTTGCTGCCGTTCCCGCCCCCTGCCAAGACGTCTCGTCTGCCCTCCGCGCTCCCCGCAAGCCCCCCATCTCCCGCATTTCCGCACGCAGCCGCCACGTCCCCCAGCGCCACCCGCCCCTCCCGCTCACCCGACCCGCTCACCTCCCGCCCTTCCCCCGCTCCTCTGACCCCCCCATTCCGCGCTGCTGCTTGCGCCTGCGCCAGCGCTTGCGCCTCCGCTTCCGCCTGCGCCTGCGCGCGGAGAAAGTTCTTCAGCGCCGGTTGCGGCGGCAGCGGCAGCGCCTTGATAGGCGACTGCCAGAAGGGATGCTCCCTAAGCTCCTCCCACCCCATCCTGGTCCCAGGATTCTTATCCAACAGCCGCATCACAAGGTCCTGAAACTCCACCGAGGGTGTCCCGGGCAGGGGCGGGGGGGGCTCCGTGAGGATGGCGGAGACGAGCGCGGAGAAGGTGGGGGAGTGGAAGGGCGGGTGGCCGGCGTAGCACTCGTACATGACGCACCCCAGCGCCCACAGGTCGGACGCAAACGACAGCACCCCGCCCTCCTGCAGCAGCTCCGGCGCCATGTAGCATGGCGTTCCGCGCTTGGGCACCGCCGCCTGGATGGGGGGAACGGGGGGTCGGGGGGATGGGGGGAAGGTGGGAGAACAGTAGCACGCGGGGAGGAGGGAGGGACGCAGTGCGAGACGAAGGATGAGTGAAACGGGGAAGGGGTGTGGGCCGAGAATGGAAGACAGGGGGTGAAGTGACAGAAGAGTGGTGTATGGTTCAGCAGGGGCAGCATAGCAGCAGCGAAGCGCCACAGCCAAGAAGCCAAGCAGCAGAAGAGCTAGCGCAGCAGCGCGCAAGAACTGACCTGGGCTTGGGAGCCCTTGGCTATGTCCGTGAGACGCCTCGCAAGGCCGAAGTCACGCACAGTTACACACTCAGTCGCACACTCAGTCGCACACTCAGTCGCACACTTCCACAGTTGCACACAGTCGCACACACGTGATTGCAGCACGGGGAAGGCCAGACTGCGAAAGGTTGTGGTTTTGAAAGGAGCGGGGTGCAAGGAAAAGAGAGAAGGGCATGCAACGGCGTGGGGCTCACTGCAAGGCCTGCGCGCAGTCACGGGCGAAGTCATGAATGGACTCCTCCGGTAGCTTCGAGTCCTGCCAGGCACCAGCACGCAGGACAGGTACAGTGAGGGGGGGGGGGAGCGCAGACGAGGAGCACGGGAGGAAGAATGAGCTGGTCTACATGGTGGTGGGAGTGTTGGAGGAGCGGGACAAGTGGGGAGGAGTAAAGCAGGAGAGGGAGGAAAAGTGGGAGCGGGGAAGCATACGGCGAGGCAGAAGCACGGCAACATGACGACTGGTGGAATTGAGTCGGAGGGGGGAGAGTGGGGGAGGGGAGAGTGGGAGGTTGGAGTGGAAGAGGGGAGAGTGGGAGTGGGGGAATGAGTGAGGGGGAATGGTAGGGGGGATAATGGTGGAGAGTTGAAGGGCATGCCTGTCGTAGAAGGGCAAGAAAATCGCCGCCCACACAATACTCCAGAATAAGCCACAGATGGTTGGCTGTCTCGTACCTGCACCCACACGAGCGCACACACATACACACGGCCACACGGCCACACACCAACACACCCACATGCATTCAACAGCATGGCAAGAAGGCGTGACACAGCACGCAGGAGGTGGGGATACGTCAGCAAGGGAGGGTCGAGGGACGAATAGATGAACAGGGAGGCAACAGCAAGACGAGCTGCGAGCATTCCGGCGAGGAGGGAGGGCAGAGGTGCGAGCGAGCGGCGAATAAGCGAAAGCGCGGACTGACCAGTCGTGGAACTTGAGGACGTTGTCGTGCTTCAGCGTGTGGAACGTGCGCACCTGCACGCGCGCACACAGCGCGGTCAGGGTCAACCATGTGCAACATGCAGCATCGAGCCTTCAGCACACAGCCGCATGCAATTAAGGAGCATGAGAGCGAGTTACATGGTAGACAAACTACGAGAGTGTGTGACGGAGGATAGAACCGGAAGCGAGTGGAGAGGCATGAGCGGAGTGAGGTGCGGGCGAGGCAAGAGAGAGGAATGATAGGAGAGGAGAGGGAACGGAAGGGCGTGGCGGGCGGCAGAGCGCACCTCTTGAAGGACTCTGGGCTTTTCACACTTCTCGATGCTCTTGATGGCGAAATACTCCACTGTCGTCTTCTTGCGACCCTTGTACACCACCTGTGCACGCACACCCACACATCCACACACATGCACACATACACACACACACAGAGTCAATGCCAGACTAGCCGATGCACGCACCATAGCGTGCCACGTGCTTTTCTCCCCACACTGCCTCTGCGGAGTCGCGCGAGACACACGTTAACTACGTTACGACAGTCCATGTTGACACACTTGCGGCTTTGCAGCCATGGCTTCGCGGCCACGGGTACGATCGTCGTGGCAATCAGTGGTCCGACAGATCAGAGCCATGTCTCCTTTCCAGCGAATGACGCATATAACAAAACCATCGTTTAAAAGTCGCCACGCTGACAATCATTCTAAGTAGGCTTGGATTGAAACGGGAAAGGATTTTCCTTTGCACCAAGCGGACTCGACTAATTCGCTGTTATCTCTTGTCTTCCATCCCATGCCTGCCTCACGAAGGAATGCGACATCACCCACGTGCGGTTAATTACGGATGTTCGCCGCGCGATATGACATGCTTGGGATCATAGATCGGAGCGCACCGGTGTTTCGTCGGAGGGGGCTGAGGTGAAGTTACGACAAGGTGCTAGCAACGCGAGCTTACCGAGTGGCGATCTGGTCGTAGATGTGATACTGATTCATGGCGTCGCGGCGCCGTAAATCACGCGCTCTTCACGGCAGAGTGTACGCTTCGAAACGAGTGCTTTAAAAGCATTAATAATCCCGCACGGTGATCCGTTGGGGGTCATGCAGCAGTTGAGCACAGCGGAACCAGCGGCGATGCGAGATTCCCTAATCGAACAGACTCTCACAAGCCGAGAACCGAAAAGCTTCACGATGTAGGCATGACTTCCAGCTGAGAAGCATCTGCAGATCCCACCCACAATTGTGAGCAACTAAGGGCGCGTCAGATCCGTTACAAGGTGATTTGGCCGGAATTTGGTCGACAATTTGGTCGACAATATCTTTCGCCAAAGTCGACAACATGGTCGACTTCAATAACGACCAATATCCGGCCACATTTACAGGGCCGAAAAATCTGACACATTTGGTGGCCGATTTGATGGCCGCTTTGCAAATGTGTCAGATTTGCAGTTCGCCAGGGTCGCCGGATTGTGCGACGGAATCGCAGATGCAGTACTTGTGTGACACGTTGCGTCGCACGAGTTGGCGACGTCGCGTAGTGACTGTAGCGATCTCAGGTCGACAAATTGGTCGACTTTCGAGTCGACTGCACGTCGGAACTTTGTCGAATGCTGAACCGGCCAACAATTTTTTTTACAAATGGCCGGATTTGACGAACTCTCCGAAAATCTTTGCGGATGTCGCGAATGTGTTACCTTCGCTAATTCCGGCCGGCCGGATTTTTCCGACAACGGATCTGACGCACCCTAAGCGTGTGACAACCAATCTCGATGATGCTTTCGTGAAATTCCCCATATCAAAGAAGTTGCCGTACACATGTGGGATGTGATGTCGCCGGCTATGGATTCCAAAACACCCAACCTTCGGGTTCCTCCTCTCGGTATGGTTTGCGAATCGCGGACCGCATCGGATGGCTCAGAGGTGTCTCATGTGGCTGGTCCGCCCCGACGTTGCACCCCTGGTCCGGAATTCTGGTCCGACAGACTCGATTCGCGGACCAGGCGTGGACCAGACACGGACTGGTCCACATGATGCATCGCGTCACGGGCTGTACAGATTTTGCGAAATGCATGCTGAAATCGAGTTACCTTAGACATTACATTATCTTCATTCCGCTATTACTCCTATTTTCACATGCAAATCCATCTTGTCAAGCCTTCTGCAATCTCATGGTAGATGTGATATTTATGTCTGATATGTTCTCAATTCGGCCTATAACTAACAATACTTCTGTGCAGAGTTCTTTTGACAAACTTGTGGGCCGAAACACCACATGGGCATGCTACAAAAACCTTCAATCTATCACAACGAGGGTTGGCTCTCTAGTGCTTTTATAAAAGGTGCTAGCCCAGGGATAGTCACACAGCATAAGGCCTGCGTCTTGCTTGCAACCACTCAACCACGTGCTCAATTCTACAAAAGAAGCTCCAAGGGATGCAGTGACCTGGGCAGAAGTGGAGGGGTCTAGAGCACGCCAAAGAATGGATTGGAAATGGCCGAGTGCAGCTCTGCCCCCGCTACATTCAGTACTTCTGGAATTGCCTTCTCTGCTGGCATCACCAGGTGCTCCCCCTGTGCGTCCTTCTCAAAGCCACATAGCTGTAGAAATTCAAAGGCTTCAGGGAACACCGCAACACGATCCTGGTCAAGCATGGCAAGTGGCAGGATGGTGGGGGAAAGGATGGTAAACAAATATGGTAAAGTGGCAGCATTGGGAGAGGGAGGGGGACAGGATGGGGGCTGTGAGGGCGACTGTGGAAGAGGAGGGGAGGAGGAGGGGAGGAGGAGGAAATCGCCTTGCATTAGAGATAACAATGGCCTAATATGACCTCTTAATGATAAAGCCACAAGTTGCAGAGCTGGTGCTTCCAACAGCAGTGCAACCTTCCAAGGAAAAGAGAGAGATAAAGGGATACAGGGAGAGAGAGGGAGGAGGGAGAGACGGAGAGAGGAAGAGAGGGAGGGAGATAGAGCAGCATGAGCCCACCTGGAAGGCGGCATTGGCGAGGCGAATGCGGCGGAACTTCTCCTCGGTGGGCCGCTGAGCGACGTTGGTGATGTACTTGAGCATCGTCTCAAACGCCACCTTCACCTTGGCCTCTTGCTCCTGCCACACACCAGCAACCGTGAAAGACCAGCAGCAGCACACACACGGTGAGCTGGCTGGTTCCTCCAACACATCCCACCTGAGCTATGCACACCACCACAATCGACAAATGCATGTGTGTACCAGCCACCCATGCACCGAAGCACCCACGCACCTTGTGCGCCTGCTTGAGAGCACGAAGCGCACTCCTCATCTTCTCCGCCAGCGATGCTGGCTTCACAGGCAGATGCGCCTGCTCGTGGATCAGGGGAAGGGGGGCAGGCAGGTCCAGCGGTGAGGCGGGGCTGGGGGGGAGAGACAGAGGAGACCTACACTACAGTGAGGAGCACGCCTGCTGAAATAGGACAAGTGTGGAGCCCATGGCCCACACACATCTAATGCAGATGACTGCCTTTCCTCCGTGCCATTGCCCATGCCAAGCCACACAGCTGAGCACGCATCCTCGCAACACCAGTGGCAGTCAGGTCTCTGACAACCACCCACAATTCCACCCGCCCCACCCCGCCTGCTATTCCACCACCCACCCGCCCTTCCATGGTACAGAACCCACCTTCTCCTGCTCAGCTGCCGCCTTGGCCCCACTGCTCTCAGCAGTGGCGGCAGCAGCAGCGGCAGCGGGGGGCTTGGGCTCCTCTGGTGGCAGGCCCAGTTTCCTGCGTCGCTCTTGCTGCTCACACGGGGAAAGAGAGCCCCGAGGAGAGAGAAAGATGAGGGTCTGTGGCTGGCGCATGTGGAGTTGCAGTGGGCGTTGGAACATCACTGGGTGGATGTGAGAGATCATGACACATGTCAATGGCACGTGTGAATGGCACACACGTATAGCACACCCACGTGGCACTCACTCACTCAACCGTGCATACCCGGTCCTCTTCCAGTCTTTGTCGAATCCTCTCTCTCGCCCGCTTCTCCTCCTCCTTCTCTCGCCTTCGAAACTCAATAAGCCTGCAACCCCCACGCAACCACCAGACTAGTCACCATAAATGCCTCTCTCCCACTATTACCGCCCTGTCAGCGATAGCACATTAACTGCACACGAGATTCTTCTAAATGAAGGGATATTATTACGGAATTTCATAAGATGCAAGAACAGAAGACGGCCAGAACGAAGAGGAAATGTGGGGCTTGATAATTTAGTCGTATACATCAGCCCGTCTCTTGCAAAAGAAGCTGCATGGGATACAGAAGAGAGACGAGCAGGTCAGGCAGCGAGCGGGAAATGGAAGCTTGGGGAGGACCCACCTCTTGCGCTCCTCCACCTCCTCCTTCTGCTTGGCGATCAGCAGCTCCTTGCCTGCTCTTATGCGCTCCTGCACCACTCACCATGCCACCACCCCAACAGCACATCAGCACGCATGCACAGGGCCCGTCAACGTGTGCAAAGAGGCTTATAAAAAGGGCCAGACGCAACAGCAAGAGGGTGAAGCGAAGCCCAGGGTATGGCCGCGGGGCAGGCAGGCATGGCACATGCTGCCAAGGCAGTGCCATGAGCTTGTAGGAATCTCGAAATTCGTGTGTGCCCCAGTGGTGCATGCATAGCAGCACAGAAATGCATGGCAATAAGAAAGCTCATCCATTGCCTGGTGAATGGAAGTGCGTGAGAGCTGTAAGCTTGCAAGGCAAGAGAATGTAAAGAGGTGACTTCTAAGTCAACTCAAAAGCTTGCAAGGCAAGAGAATGTAAAGAGGTGACTTCTAAGTCAACTCAAAAGCTTGCAAGGCAAGAGAGTGTAAGAAAACCAAAACTCACTCTCTCCCTTTCCTTCTCCCTCTGCTTCTCCTCCTCTTCACGCTTCTTCCTAGCTTTCTCCCTGCATAACGAGTGACATGCCACATGACAACACAGTCGCACAAATCACACTTGGACAGCCCCATGCATGCACAGCACAGGCATCAGCACATAGTCGTACGGATAGGCAGAAGCGCCACCACTGCTGGCACACAGGAACGACAACATCCTTCCTCAGTGCACCCCAAGTGCTCACACGCATCTTCTGAGTCACCTCACAAGCTCATCCCGTGCATTCATGTACAAACAAATCCACGCCTCCACCCTGCCACCTCGCCAATCCCATCCTCCGCCTCCCCCAACCTCCACCCCCCCCAACCTCCACCCCCCCCAACCTCCACCCCCCACAACCTCCACCCCCCCCAACCTCCACCCCCCCCAACCTCCACCTTCCCCACCCTCCACCTCGCCCACCCTCCGCCTCCCCCACCTACCTGAGCTCGTCTGCCAGTCGCTTTGCCTCTTCTGGCGTCAGCTGCTTCTTCGGCTTGCTCTGCGCTGCTGGCACCTGCACACACGTGGAGTGACACGTGGCACACGTGGCACAGGTGGTACAGGTGGTTGGTACAGGTGGTACAGGTGGCAAGCACCAGTAAGAAGCGAAGTCAACGCTTTCTCATTGTCCGCAATAGTGTGAAATGGAAAGAGGAATCGCACAGCAGGAGGAGCAGTGGTGGCCAAGCAGCACAACAACACGTACAGTGTTGATGGAACTGAGAGGCAGCATGAGGAGCAGAAGGGGGAACAGAAGGAGGAGGAGGAGGAGGAGCAGAAGAAGAGCACTAGAGCGGGAATGGAAGCAGTGAAGCAGGCAAGCAAGGCAGCACTGACGAGTGGGAGTGTATCGATGTCAGGGTCGTTCTCATGGTCCGCTATCCACGCCACGGCATTCTCAATCGACTCGCCTCCTGCTCACACCACACACGATAACACATGTCCACACCCACACCCACACCAACACCAACAGGCCCACCCACACCCACACCCTCACCAAAACCCACGCAGCGAACACAGAAGTCCTGTAATGCTTTCACGCATGCAACTGCAAGCGAGCCCTGACAAGTAAGTCCAGTAGCACAGCAACTGACTGAATAAATGAATGCAATCCGCCCTCCCCTCCCCTCCCCCCCCCTCCTCTCCCCTCCCCTCCCCTCCTCTCCCCTCCCATCCCCTCCCCTCCCCTCCCCTCCTTCCCGCCCCTCCCCACGACCCATGCATGAGGCGCACCGGAGGAGTGCAGGGCGCGCACGCATCGGTTGTGGGAGAACCCCATGGCCTCTAGGTCCGACAACAGCTCCGGGTTCACCCACGGCGCCACCATCTCCTCCGCGCACTCCCCGCCGCGCCCCTCCCCACTTCCGCCCGCCTTCGCTCCCCCTCCCTCGCCGCCCCCTGCTCGCTCCGCCACGCCCCACGGTCGCACGCATGCATGCATCCATGCAGGCACGGCAGCACGCACGGAAAGAGAGACGTGTAGCGAGCAGGATAGGCGGAGAGAGCGGCACATAAGAGCAGCGCGAGAGGAGAGAGCCGAAGAAGGCTTCTAAGGTGCACGCGATCACGAACGGACTAGGGAGAGCCGAGGCGACCCAGGCGAAAGCTGCGAAAACAGGCGAAAGCTGCGGAAAAAAGAGGCGGAAGGGGACGAGTACCCGACGCAGCATCGAGGTTGAGAGGCTTGGCGGATGCAGCCGTCTCGTCGGAGAAAGCCGTGTGGCCCGTGCGCTTCGTGTGTAGATCGCGCTCCTGGCGGCGCCGCCATTAGCGCACGGACGCGAGGACGAGTGCATGCATGCAGGCATGAAGAGCGAAGAGAGAGACGCAGCTATTTAAAAATCTCGCAAACCGGCTAAGCGTATGTGCGTGACGATGCGTCCGTGCAGGGATGCAGCGTGGGGACGGGGGGCAACGAGCAGTACATGAAGGTGAGCGTGAGTGACTGAAGCGGCGAGAGGGGGGTAGGGAAGTGCGGAAAAACGAGCGCGCGGCGAGGGGAGGGAAGGAAGGGGAGGGACGGGAGGAGGACGTACGGTGGCTGAGCGACATGGCTTGCTGCACTCGTCGCACACCAGGCGAAGCACCTGCCGGATGAGACGGCGACACGCGGGTCAAGTAGAGCAAAACGAGGTTGCGGAAGGGGGGGGAAGTACAGCGAAGCAGGGTTAGTGAGCGAAGTGGGAACAGCGCGAGAGAGGAGTTGAGCAAGGAAGGATATGGCGCGGGAGGGGTTGATCTGAAAGCAGCCTGAGAGTCGATACCGGACGGGATCGAAGCAACGCAGAGGAAGACGGGAGAGATGTCTAAGCGAGGAAAATCACGGATGCTTGCGATTGCGAACGCTGAGATTTCGGAGTGCGTTAAGGAACATGGCAGATTCGAGACGTCTCAAAACTAGACAGCACGCAGCGCAAGGAGGGCACGCACTGGCTCGGTGGATTCGGCGAAATCCGTGTGCCCCGTGACCTCCGCATGCAGTTGCGCCTCGTCCGCGCTAGCTAACTGCGTGCCGCACTGATTGCACACCAGCGACAAGCCGACGGCAGCCATGCGCGCGAATCACGGCGTGCTACTATTGAAGATCTGATCCGGCTTGTTGATCGGCTTCCTGATCAGCTTGCTAATTTGCTCACCGATCTGTGACGAAACGGGAATGTGCTGTGCTATGGGATCAGCGATGGTGCATTTCGGCTGTGACTGGAGGGGAGTATCAACAGCAGCCCATTCCTTTGTTGACTGACCTCTCGGGAAATCCGCATAAATACATCCGTTTCACGACGAACGAGGGAATATCATTACACTATTGGGAGGGGAAAACCGGTCGGTACTCACACCATAGGAAAAGTGAAATTAGCACCATTCTATAATGCACCAACATATACATTAGTCCGTACCAACATAAGCACCTAAGGTTCGTCAGGGTTAAGCGTGCAGCCAGCACACGAGCATGCTACGGTATCACTAATCCTGGTCGCTATTGGGAAGCAGACTCTAAGTTAGGCATAGAGGTGGAATGAGCAAGAGTGTCATATGTAGGCGCAGAGGTGTTGGGGAGTGGTGAAGAGTGTGGTGGAGAAGACACTAGGGATTTTTTTCCAGGGTTGGAAGGCAGTTGTCGATCCAGCAGGATGGGATTGGTGGAGGGGGCTGACTCATGGGAACACTCCATTTCCGGTTTAACATCCCGCTCGAGCCTGCTTCTTTTCATGCCGACTCTCACTTCCTCGCTCCGTCCCAACCCGCCGTCGGTTCTCCCCATCCCATCCGCCACACTTCCATCTCCCACGGAAGCCCCCTCACCCCTCTCCACTCCACCCACTCCCCCCACCCCCACCACTCCCATCGCCCCCCCCAATCGCCCCACGCACGGCCCTTTCCTCCCCCAGGGCAGCAGTGTGCCGGGCCCCACCACTTCATCAGGCGACAATCCCAAGGCCACCACGGCCTCTTTAGACGCTCTCAGCAGCGCCTCCGCAGCAGATGCCGGCAGCTGCACCCGCACCACGCACACTCCACCCGCCGCCCCCCCTCCCACATCACTACCCCCTTTCTTCCCCACTCCTTCTGTAACATGTGCGCTCCCAGGAAGGGGGTGGTCATGAGGGAAGTTGAGCTGGGCCTTGTGGCCGCGCAGCATGCGGGCGGCGAGGTCATAGGCGCGGGCGGCGTCCTCAGGCGAGTCGTACGAGCCCAGCCAGATGCGTGTGCGCTTGCGCGGCTCCCGGATCTCCGACACCCACTTGCCCCACTTGCGCTGCCGCACTCCCCGGTACGCCACTGCCGCTGCCGTTGCTGTTGCTGTTGCTACCGCTGCTGGGAGTGCTGTTGGGAGTGGTGCAGCTGGGTGTGGTGCTGCTGAGAGTGGTGCTTGTTGCAGGGCAGGTGGAGTGGGTGACGCCAGCTGTGGGAAGCAGGCGGAGGCGGGCTGTACAGGGGGGTGCTGAGGCGCAGGGGACATCGGGCTCTCATGGTACGAGCCTGCATGCGAGGGAGCAGTGAGCGAGGCACTCGAGGGAGGGAAGGGTTGTGCGCACGTGGGTCCCTGCGGACCGGAGCTGCCAGGCAGGGGCTGAGAGAATGATTGCGAAGGTGGCAGCGGCGGCGTGTCAGGAAGGAATTGGAACGCGCTGGGAGGGGCAGGAGCGCTTAGTTGGTGGGGATGGGGATTAGGGGGAGTGTAAGCACTTGCAGGGGTCATGTTAGCTGAAGAATTCGCTGCTGGTTGGTGTGCGTTGAAGTAATTTGAGGGGTGAGAGTCTGCAAATCCTTGGTAATCGTTGCATGGTTGTTGTGGTGCTGCTGTCATTGCAGGTGGAACGTAGTACTGGTATTGCTGCTGCTGCTGTTGTTGATGCTGCTGCTGCTGCTGCTGTTGTTGATGCTGCTGCTGCTGCTGTTGATGCTGCTGCTGCTGCTGTTGTTGATGCTGTTGCTGCTGTTGTTGTTGCTGCTGCTGCTGCTGCTGTTGATGCTGCTGTTGCTGCTGTTGTTGCTGTTGATGCTGCTGTTGCTGCTGTTGTTGCTGCTGCTGCCGCTGCTGCCAATCTCGTTGATGCTGCTGTTCCTGCTGCTGCCAATCTCGTTGGTAGTGGTGCTGCTGATGCTGCAGGTGCTCGTGGTGTAGTTGCGGTTGGAAGCAACGTGGCGGAGGATGGGGCTGATGAGTGGCTGGTGCGCCACTCTCGTCCGACACCAAGCTCCCCGACTGCATGCTCTCCCCCCTGCTCCCACCGCCAACCCCAGCCTCGTTTTCTCCCGTGCCCGCAATCGACGAGTACCCCGTGAATTCACCGCGATGTGGATCTGGGAACGGCTTGTACCACTGCTGCTGCTGTTGCTGCTGCTGCTGGTGACAAGCGGGTGCGAGAGGAGGCGCGTGGGTGGTGGTAGGCGGACAGCCATCGTGCAGAATGAGGTCGATTCCCGATGCTGGCGGCGGGGGTGGCGGGGGCGATGACGCAGCGGGCATGGCGTGCATGCTGGCGCCGTGATCTTGAAAGCCGCTGTGTACCTCCGCCTGCTGCTGCTGCTGCTGCTGCTGCTGCTGCTGCTGCTGCTGCTGCTGGTGATTACTAAGAGACAGCGAGTAGACGTGTTGTTCCTGAAACTGCTCTTGCTTCACACAAGGAAGCCCCCCTTGCGCCTGCCATTGCTGCGGCTGAAATTGCTGTTGCTGCGCCTGTCGCTGCTGTGGCTGTGAAAAGTGCATTTGTTGCTGATACTGATTCTGATACTGCAGTTGCTGTGATGGCCGCTGTGTCATGAAACTCTCGTGGCTCTGCGGTTGGGCCACCATGGATGTCGGGTGCGGATGATGCCACTGCGCCTGCACTTCTTGTTGCTGCTGCTGCTGCTGCTGGGGCTGCTGCTGCCTCTGAAACTGACGCACGTGCGACGGGTGATGCTGCAATTTACCGAGTTCTCGTTGCTGTGGCTGTTGTTGCTGCACCACGACCAGCGGCGGCGGCGGCGGCGGCGGCTGCGGTTGCGGAGCAAGTTGTTGCTGCTCTGGCTCAGAAGAAGGGACGACTGCTTCTGGGTTGTGAAATCCCGAAGCGGAAGAGTTTTCCCTCCCATTCCGAGTCGAGAATCCCTGCTGCGCGCCGATGCCAGGAAGACCATCGGCGACGCGGAGAGGGCCATGGGCGTCGGCGACGCGGTCATCGGCGCTTACTAGCAAGCCCAGTTCCTGTCGCAGGCTCGACATCAGCGCCACCTGCTCCTCCGCAACCACCGGCGCGACTAATTCCAGATGTGTGTGCGCGGCGGCTGGAGGCGCCGGTCGCCGTCGGAGCGCCTGAGGTGGTGGCTGTGCAACGGGTGGTATTACTAGCGGCAGCGGCGTCGTCGCTACGATCGGTGTCTGCGACAAGTCGCGTTCGTTGGGCGACGCGCCGTCGGGATGGTTTGCACCGATGGTTGGCGCTTCTTGCTGCTGCTGCTGCGCCCCCGATGGGTCAACTACGATCTGCGTCCGTCCGTCTCGCCGAGTCGTCGCCTGTAAGGCTTCGCTCTTACTACCACTGCTGACAGTGCCGACTTTGGCATCAGGTTGATCCCGATATGATGGCTGTGGCTGCTGCTGCTGCTGCGTCGAATGCTGACGTGGCTGTTCAGCTGAAGTAGGGTGGGAATAAAGCGTGAACGGCGGAGGCGGAGGCGGCAAATTCAGGATAACATCAGGGTTGATGCATCCGGAAGCGCTCTGCTGCCCGCATCGCGCCGCGGGGAACATGATGCCTGCTGCTGCTGCCGATGCTACTGCCGCCTTATTGTTGTTCTCGGGTATCACTACTAATAGCGTGGGGTCTAAACAGCTGACATGGCGCGCGGTGAGGCCATCCATGAAAAGGTATAAATGGGGAAACTGTGACGACGAGCCAAGTCGCCAGCGTGAACTTAGTAGCCCTGTAGGCCTGCGGGGAATTCGTAGCAGTAACGTGCTTTATGGTGGGAAAACCGGCGCGAAGACACGATAGCTTGGCTAGTCAGTCAGTAGGATGCAGAGGGCCTGATGGTCATTTTAACTCCGCGAGACGTCTCGACTCGAATTTACGGAGAAAGATAACCGTTGTGCGAAGGTTATGCGACCAAGGGATTGACTACAAGCTAAGATTATTCGGTAGTCTCTAGAAAACTCGGCTGCTGAACCTTGAACGAGAAAACAATGACGCTGAGAGATTTTTCAGGCTCATGATGTCACCGACGGCGCGTGGGTTGTATGCGAAAGCGTGGAGGGGAGGGCGGAAGGTGCACTGGTGGCGTACGGGTGCAGCTCATCTGACATCGCTTTGCTGGCTCGCTTGTTTCGATTCGAGTGGAGCGGCCAGCCACCACAAGACCCACAGCTGCTGCCATCTTTCGTTTCGGAATCCGCGCGTCGGCTTTTGATGGGTCTGTGCCTGCGTGCGCGCCTGCCTGCGCGGCTGCCCAATCTTGCGTTTCCCGAACTGGGTCCGAGCCAGCAGGAGCCAGGATGCGAAAAAAAGGGGGGAGGTGGGAGAAGGTGGGGTGGGGAAGCATGGAAGGGAAGTGTTGACGGAAGGAAGGTGGTTTTGGTCGGACCCTCGGCTCGGGTATCCGGAGCCTTGGGCACCCCCTCTCACTTGCGAATCAATCGAGCCATGATTTAGGTTCGGGTGGGTTTGTGCGGTTCGATGGCCTCTCGTTCGGGAAATGGTTTTGGAATTCTCTAGGCTCGAGTCAATCTGGTCTGGGAAGCAGCTTGCGGGTGCTTTTGGTGGCGGTACTTTCGTCATAGGGGTTAGAGAGGGAAACGAAATGAACGGAGTCCAGGTGCCACGTGTACCCATCGACGACTCCCGCAATTCGCTGAATCGCAGTCACGAAAGACAGGCTCATCACACACCGTACGACGAATGCCATCACAGCTCTGAGAGACGAATCTCGCCTTCCTCGAAGTGCCTGAAGACTTTGCTCCATTTTTCTGAATAGTGCACTACAGTACCAAATTGCTCGCAATTTTGTTCACTCAATATTAGGGCGACGTCAGATTATACATTTCACACGAGCTTACAGTTCCTGTATCGTGGTTCAAGACGGTTTAACACGGTGAAAAGCGGTTCTCGCATATTACCGCTCTTCACCGTGTTGAAACGAAATTTACCGAAGAGGCGTACAAAAAGTACAACCTGACGTCGCCCTTAGCGAGAATGGGGGAGAGAGTTCGACTTAGCGAGAATCCGGACGGGTTTATAAGGAAATGTGAAGTGAGGACAGGAAACACAAATCTCTGGTCAAGCTAACTGACGGTCGCTGTGTAGGGAATTGTAGTCGCTCGCCGTTGGTTGTTCAGTCGCTGAGCCCAACGCCGACAAGCTGGAATTCACACGACGTACTGTACAAGCTCCCCTTACCGTGTCGCAGCGCAGTTTCATGAACGATCGAACAAACCAGACCTCCGATGAAGCCTGGCTGCTCATGCCGTCCCCGCTGAACGACAGAACCAACTGCCCTTCAGCTCTTCCTACTATATACTCACAATTGGCTGCACCAATATACTCACAGAACTACAAGCCCAATCAAAGCCAGTATAGAACCTAAGACCAGCTTAGATATTGAACTGCAATATTTACCCTAACCCCTGACCTGTGTGTAGCTCATTTGCATTGTAAAAAAATATTCTATGCGCATATGAATATGGATGACTATACGTATTAAACAAAGATTTTTTTGTAATTTTAAGGGCTTTTAATATGTCAACAATGCTACTTATTCAGGGCAAAGATAATTTAGTAGACCACTTATCATAGCCTGGATGTAGGTTCAAATGGTTACCCATCATGCTAAAGATTTTCCTATGTGTGCCTTCATTCCTTATTCGGCCATGGCGAAGTTCTCCATCTTCTTTCGTCATGTTTCGGTAGCGCCTTATTACAATGTAACTCTCGCTACACAAGGTTGTCGTCTTGGGAAACCGTCCGCCTCCTCTTTCCTCACCACAGACTTCTCCGCCTTCCCTGTTCCGCGACAAGGGTGAGGCGGAAAGAGCTCCAGTCAAGGGCGCATCAAGAAGATGCACCACAGGTGCATAATGCTCTCAGCCCCATAAATTTCAACACATCTGGCCCACTGCCGAGTGTCTGCCGACCCTGGGTCAGGCAAACAGAGCTGCCCTTCTATTATAGCATCTTTTTCCGGCGCAATTCGCGCCAATGGATGTGTTCGAGATAGAAAAGGAGGCGGGTAAAGCGAGGCAAGCGGCGGCTGCTGCATCCGCTGCGGCGGCGTCGGCAGCGGCAGCAGTGGAGGGGGACGGCGCGGGGTTGAAAGACCACTTCAAGCCGCTTAACGAGCTCCCCGCTGCGCAGCGGCAGAAGGAGCTTCACAAGGAAATTCAGTTCGTACGTCTAAGATTAATCGCATCTAATGAATCTTGGAGAGGTGGCTAGGGAAAAGGTCGGCATTGATAGGAGGCGGGAGCAATGCAGCAGTTTATGGAAGAGCATGCGCTTTTAGGTCAAAATGCGATATCGTCGTCGTGAACGCGGCGTTGGTTCTCACAAACTTGGTGCATTTTTCGGTTTCGTCGTGTATTTTTCTGAGGCGCCTCAAGAATTTGTCGGCCATCCCGTGTCGCTGACGTGCGCGAGGGATAAGGTGCGGGTGAGAAATGCGGTCATAAGCATCTACGCCCCGTGCTTGCGAGTGGTATGTTCGGAACCACGTGGCTGTTAGAGAGCCGTTACGAGCCGTTCGCGCGGCGAGCGCTGTGGCCGGTAGTGGACACATCAGCAATGCCTTGCCTCCTCATCTTATCCGTCGCACCCGTCGCACCCGTCGCGTACATGCATGTCATAGCCATCCCTGCGCATATCCGCGTGCATTTCGTGCTGAACCGTGTCGAGCCGACCTGTGCATTGCGCGGGTCCTTTGGTGCCGTGTGTGCATGATGGCGTGCATGATGGCGTGCATGATGGCGCGCGTGCGTGCAGGTGGAGCACACATGGCCGCTGGAGCAGCTCTACTCGCACTTCCACACCGACCCTGCTCAGGTACGCTCCTCGCACACGCCACACGCATTCCACGCGCACGCCACGCGCACGCCACTCCTTGCCTGTGCATGCACCATCTCTTAGGTGGACGACATGTATAATGTACTGGCGTGTCGTATCTCTATGTCGTTTCCCCTCCCCATCCTTCCCTCCAACTTCCCCCCCTCCCTCCACTCCTCACGTCCCTCCACCCCTCCCTCCATCCCGCCCTTCTCCCCTCCCCCCCCTCGCTGCCCGTCCCGCAGGGGCTATCGGAGGTGCAGGTGGTGGTGAACCGGGGGCGGTATGGGGAGAACCGGCTGACGCCAGGGTACGTGATGCCGTGGTGGGTGCGCTACCTGCTGCAGTTCACCAACTTCTTCTCCCTGCTCCTCATTGTCGCCGCCGCCCTCTGCTTCCTCGCCTACGGCATCGACCCCGCCCATGGCAAGGAGAACGTGAGCGGTGATGGAGGCAGGAAAGGGTGGGTATGGAGGGAGGGGAATGGGACGGGAGGGTGAGGGAGAGGTGCGTGGTGGTGGTGGGGAGGCGGTGGGGTGGGAGGGAGGGAGGGAGGAGATGGGGGAGCACGGAGGATGGGAAGGCACGCTGGCAATTCCTCGGGCACCATATGGGCCTGTGTGCCTGTGCCTTGCCGCTACCACCATCACCCACGCTTGTGCGTTCATGCCGCAAAACACTCTGTTTTCAACGAATGCGATGCAAAGAGAATGCACACAGCACGACGACATAGCCGCCCTAAAGCCTCTCAGATGTATTTCCCCCCCACTCCCCTCCCCCCTCCCCCCCCATCCCCCACCTCTGCCCCGCTCGGCTTGTCCCCCCTTTTCCTACCCATACGGTAAAACCTCCATGACACCCTCTTCCTCTTCCTCTCCCCTTCTCCCTCTCTCCCCTCTCCCTCTCCTTCTCCCCATGCTTCCCCCTGCCCACCTCCCCCCCGTGCAGCTGTACCTGGGCATAGTGTTGGTGGTGGTGGTGGTGGTGACGGCGTCGTTCACGTACTGGCAGGAGGCGCGCTCAGAGCACATCATGGAGTCCTTCCGCCAGCTCATCCCCGCCACCTCCCGCGTCCTGCGCAACGGCCGCGTGCAGGTGACCTCATGCACGCACGCACGCACGCACGCACGCACGCACCCACACTGCATGCTGAACTGCACCCCCTCCCCCCTTTAGCGATACAGATGCATCTCCTTCCCTTTCTGCCCCCCACCACCCCCCCCCTCCCCCTCCACCCCCCCCCCCCGCCGTTCCCTCCTCTTTCTCTCCTTATTCTCGAATCTGACTTTCTTTCAAGTGCTGTAATTTTAGCGTTTCCCCCCGTCCTTGCATGAGACGCCCAAGCGCCACCCTGTGGCTGACCATCCGTTGAAGGCACACTCTGCCTAACGCTGCCATGAATTGCTGCTGCATCCCACTGTTATCACATGGACGACTGGCTTCATGGGTGTATGTGTGCATGACGGCATGGGTGCATGTGTGCATGGGTGCATGGGTGCATGTGTGCATGTGTGCATGGGTGCGTGGTGCATGTGTGCATGGGTGCGTGGTGCATGTGTGCATGGGTGCGTGGTACATGTGTGCGTGCATGCATGAGAGCAGGTGGTGGATGCGAGTGAGTTGGTACCAGGGGACGTGGTGGAGCTGAGTGATGGCGACAAGGTCCCAGCGGACATACGCCTCATACACGCCACCGACCTCACTGTCAGTCACACCTCCGTGCCAGGGACCCGAGCCTTTTTGTGAACTTGCTCCTTAGGTCATCACTCCCCAACCACCCTTCCAACAGTAGCCATGCAGGAACCACGCTGCCTACCTGTCCACCATTGCACGCACCTCCTCGTCGCATCCTCACCATACAATCACCTGTACAGTCCCTTCACCTCTCCTCTCCATCACCCTCCCCTCGTCCCCTCTACCCCCTCACCGTCTCCCACCCAAACACTACCGCTTTTCCCCAACCCTTACCCCCCACCTTTTCCTTTTTCCCACACCATGCGTGCAAGGCAGGTGGACAACAGTGCGCTGACGGGCGAGTCAGCGGCGGTGGAGCGCGGGGCGGAGCTGGCAGTGGATGCGCAGGGCAAGCCCGTGACAGAGCCGCTGGAGGCAGCCAACCTGGTGTTCTATGCCACCATTGTGGCGAGCGGGCATGGCAAGGGCGTGGTCATTGGCACCGGGGATAACACCGCCATGGGGCAGATCGCAGGTGCGTGTTGTCCGCTGCTTCTGCTGCTGCCTCCGCTGCCGCTGCCACTATAGTGTTGCGTTGCGTTTCTCCACTCCGTTCCCACTTCTTGCCACGTGCTCTTAACTTCTGCATCTTTTTTCTCGCCTCTCCCCTCCCCACGCTCCCTTCTCCCTTCTCCCCTCTCTCCTCTCCCCGTGACGGGGCAGGTCTGTCGGTGCTGACGCCCCCGGGGGACACGCCGCTAGCAGTGGAGTTGAAGCAGTTGGTGGGCATGATCAGCCTGATGGCCGTGGTGATGGGGCTCGTGTTCTTCGGCATCGCTCTGCTGCTGGGCGACCCCTTCCTGCACACCGTGGTGTTCGGCATTGGCGTCATTGTTGCCAATGTGCCTGAAGGACTCATGGCTGCTGTCACGGTGCGGGGGGAGGGAGGAGGGAGCGAGGAGGGGAAGGAGCGTGGGGGGGAGGGAGGGATTGGGGGAGGGAGGGAGAGATGGAGTGGCAGTGCGAGTGGGAGGGGTGGAATGCGGCGGGTGGCCATGTGTTTGCTGTGGTCGTGATGTCATGACACGCCTCACATTGCATCAATGCGTGTATGCACCGCCAGTGCATCATGCATGAATAACGCATCTGAATGGCATCCCACCCGTGTCGTATCCCATCTGCCGTACGTGCTGCTCCATGCGTGTGCCACAGGTGTCCCTGGCGCTAGCAGCGAAGCGCATGCATGTGCACAGTGTGCTGGTGAAGAACCTGCAGGCCGTGGAGACCCTTGGCTCCTGCACCGTCATTGCCTCTGATAAGACCGGCACCCTCACTCAGAACCGCATGACCGTCCGTGCGTGCCCCTTCCTCCCTCCCTCCCTCCTCGTTCCTCCTCCGCCCCTCCTCCTTTCCTCCTCCCTCTTTCTGCAATACCTCCCTTTCTCTCCCCTTCTCCCTTCCTCCGTTCCTTTACCCTCCTTTGCTTTCTCCCCCCATTATCGAACCCTGCCCCCACCCACGCCTAACTGATGAAGTTCCAACTGGTTCTGCTGTGCTTTTCCTACTCCTCCGGCCCCTCCTACCCTTCACTCTCCTTCCCTCGTCTTCTCTGGTCTCTATACCTCCTTCCTCTCCCTCTCCCCCCTCTCCCCTCCCTCCAACCAGAGCACTGCTGGTACGACCTGCGGGTGTTTGATTGTCCGGTGGTGCGCAACCGGGTGGAGTGGGAGGAGGTGATGCCGGGTGCAGTCACCCACCTTCCAGAAGCTGCAGCTCATCATCTCGCTCTGCAGCAACGCTGTCTTCCTCACAGGTCCGCTCCGCTCTCTCGTGAGATCTCCTTGCTGATCTGCACGGCATGACACTGTGTTGTTGGCGTTCCTCACACGTCTCTACTATCCATGCGGCTGTGCGGGAAACCGTCTCTTGGCTTTGGTTTGTCTGTGCTCTCACATGACGCCGTTCCGTGCATGCATCTCCTCCTGTACTCCAACCCTCCCTTACCACTCAACCCCCACCCTCTTCCCCTCTCCCCCACCCCTCCCTACCACGTTCCACACTCTTCCCCACCCACAGAGGGGCTGGTGATGGGCATAGAGATGCGGCGGCGCGAGTTCGACCTGCACGCGGCGCCGTGTGCAGGGGACGCATCAGAGCAGGGGCTGCTCAAGTTCGTGGAGCCGCTGCGGCCCGCCAAGGAGCTGAGGGACCTGTACGCCAAGCTGTTTGAGATCAAGTTCTCCTCCGCCACCAAGTGGCAGCTCTCCATTCACGTGTATGGCGCTGGAGGGGGGAGGGGGAGGGGGAGGGAGAGGGGGAGGGGGAGGGGGAGGGGGAGGGGGAGGGGGAGGGGGAGGGGGAGGGGGAGGGGGGAGGGGGAGGGGGAGGGGGAGGGGGATGGGGAAGGTGGGGGGGAGGAGGGGAAGGAGGTTGGGGACGAGAGGGGGAAAGCTGTAGGCAGGGAAAGAGGTGGGACGGCAGAGACGGTGTTGGAGCGGTGCCCTGTTTGAGTTGACTAAGAACCCCCTACCACTCCTCCCCCCAGCCTTTGCACTCCATCCCCGCACACCTTCCACCCATTCCCTTTCCCCTCCCCTCTCCTCCCCTCCCCTCCCTTCCCCCATTCAACCCCACAGGCAGTCAGCGCAGAACCGGTTACCGCCGGTGCTGGTGATGAAGGGCGCACCGGAGACGGTGCTGGAGCGGTGCTCATACATCCTGGTGAACGGGCAGGTGTACGACCTCACCAGTGACAGCCGCAAGCACTTCCAGGAGGCGTACCAGCAGATGGGCGGCTTTGGGGAGCGCGTGCTCGGCATGGCGTTCCGGGACCTCGAGGGTTTCACCAACGAGTTTGCGGTGAGATTCGTGTGCTGCTGCTGTGGCTGCTGCTGCTGCGGTGGGTGCAGCTGCTGCTGTGCCGTGCTTTGTTTCTCAGTGCTCTCTTGCTCTGCTCTGCTGCTCATGCGCTGCCTAGCTCTGCTTCCACACGCTCGTTCACCCCAACCCCCTCCTGTCCATCCCTCCCCCCTTTCTCCCCGCCTTCCCTCTTCCTCCCTTCCCTGCTTCCCCTTCGCCTTTCTCGTCTCACCCCCCCCCCCGTCTCCTCTCGTGGCAGTTCACGCACAAGCCGCAGCCCAACTTCCCCACGGACGGGCTGACGTTCGTGGGCATGGTGAGCCTCATGGACCCTCCGCGCCCGGGCGTGCCCGAGGCCGTGGCACAGTGCCGGCGCGCTGCTGTGAAGGTGATCATGGTCACGGGCGACCACCCCATCACCGCCACCGCCATCGCCACCAAGGTACATGGGAGAATCACAGGGGGATGGGGAGGGGGGCGGGAGGGAAGGGGGATAGGGGGGAGAGGGACGAGAAATGTGCAAAGTGAGGCCCCGGGGGTTGTCAGCCATGGGGAAGAGGTGAAGGTGAAGGTAATCATGTCACGGGAGACCAGCCCCTCCTCCCTGCTCCATCACTACTTCACCACTTCCTCTCTCACTCTCTCCCTCACTCCCGCCTTTCACTGTCTCGAACTGCCACCCTGTGTGCCCGGTCGCGCACGGGCAGGTGGGCATATTGGAGAGCAGCAAGGTGGAGGCGGGCAGTGCGGCGGTGGTGACGGGTGATGACATCAGGGCGTGGAGTGCACTCACCCCCAGGGAGGAGATTCTCAAATGGGACGAGGCCCTCTCGCACCACCAGGTGTGATCCTCAACCCCAGGGAGGAGGTTCTCTTTCCCCCTTCTCTTCCGCCACGCCTTTCATTTCCTTAACGCATTCACTGCGCTACCTGCAAGCACTCACTCTCATCGCTCTCTCCTATCCTCCTCCCCAAGCACTGCAACCAGCATGTCTTTTCACGCTCTTCTCCTCCTTACTTGCTCTCCTCCCTGACGCCACTCCGCGCTCCTCTCCCATTCCCCCTCCTTCCCCCTGCTTTCCCCCTTTTCCCCCTTTTTCCCCCTTTTCCCCCCCTTTCCCCCCTTTACCTCCTTCTTCCCCCCTTTTCCCCCTTTTCCCCCCTTTCCCCCCTTTCCCCCTTTTCCCCCCCTTTACCTGTTTCTCCCCCCTTCCCCCCTTGCTCCCTTTTCCCCCCGCGCACCAGGTAATCTTTGCGCGGGTGTCCCCATCGCACAAGCTGCTGCTGGTGGAGCACTGCCAGCGGCGCGGGGAGATAGTGGCAGTCACGGGGGACGGGGTCAACGATGCACCTGCGCTCAAGAAGGCCGACATCGGTATCGCCATGGGCATTGCCGGGTGAGCAGTCTATGTTTGAGGCACGTCAAAAAGAGTCACGAGGGACGGGGTTTATGACGCACCCGCACTCAAGAAGGCCGACATTGGCATCGCCATGGGCATTGCCGGGTGAGGACAATTGTCCCTCTCACTGCCCATTCCCTGTGTGTGTGTAATTTGCCGGATGGCTATCCATGTGTGCGGGATCAATGCACTTGACTTGACTCCCCCATTGGCCCAACCGCAAACGCTCCCCCACTCATCTTCCCCAAACTCCCCCACCGTTCATCTCCCCCGCCCAGCAAGGACGTGTCCAAGGAGGCGGCGGACATGATCCTGATGGACGACAACTTTGCGTCCATAGTGAGCGGCGTGGAGGAGGGGCGGCTCATCTTTGACAACCTGAAGAAGACCATCTGCTACGCGCTCACCGTCAACGTGCCACAGCTCATCCCCTACCTCGTCAACGTGCTGCTCGGCGTGCCCCTTGCGCTCTCCACCGTGCTCATGCTCGCCATCTGCCTCGGCACCGACATGCTGCCTGCTATCTCCCTGGCTTACGAGGAGAAGGTGACAAACGGGGGACGGGTGGACGGGAGGACAGGAGGACGGGAGGGGACAAGAGGGGAGGGGACGCGAGAGAGGGAAAGCGACTGACGGGGAGTGGATGTCTTACGAGGGACCGATGAGGAGTTGACGGCTTTGGACGTCTCAAAACCCCCGTGGCCCCTCTCCCGCTCTCTTCCCCCCGGTCCCCCGCTCCCCCTTTCATCCAGGAGTCGGACATCATGGACCGGCCGCCACGCAACCCCAGGCGGGACCGGCTGGTGAGCTGGCGGCTGATCAGCCATGCGTATCTGCTCATCGGCGCCGTGCAGACGCTCGCTGGCTTCCTCGCCTACCTCGCTGTCTTCAACGACTATGGCTTCCGCCCCAATGTACCCATGCTCGCTGCCTGCCTGCCTGCCTGTCAGGATGCTGATTCACCAGCATGATCTCCGCTTGACTGCTCACTGCTCGCTCGTGACATTCCCACATTGTAACATACGTGTTTTAGCTGCTCCACCGGTCGCGAATCTCTCTCTCACCAACCTCCCTCCCCGCCTCATCTTCTGTTATCTCCCCTCCCCTTCTCCCCCCGACCACTTCTCCTTACCCACCCTCCTCACCACAGATGCTGCAGCGAATCGGGTTTGACTTCGCGCGCAACCCCATCATCTGCACGTTCGACCGGGACAACGAGCCCTACGACTGCGGGTACGGCTGCGGCCCGCCCAACTACTCCCTCGCCATGCCCGACACGTCCTCGCCGCCCGCGGCACAGCCCTACTGCTACCAGGGCTGCCCCATCCCCAGCAGCAACGTGACGCCAGTGGTGGTGGATCCGTTCAGTGAGATGGGAGCGGCGGGGTTCAAGGGGCAGCAGTTCTGCGCGCTCACCTGCAACACGTCTGCTTCTGCGTTTCCGGGGGGTGTTCTGCCATCGCAGTGCTCCAGCCCGTCGCTCTCCTCCAATGTGAGTGCTTCTCATGCGCCGCAGCGCAGACTCAGTCCCTGCGCGTGGAACTGCGGTTGCTGCGTCGCTACTTCCTGCTTCCCTGTCACTCTGCCCAAGCCTCCACATGCTTGCCCGCGTTTCTCCAATTCCCGCTCCTATTTTTCCCTACACTCTTCCCACCCCTCCTCGTGACCCGTGCTCCCCTCGAGTTCTCTCCCAACCCAACCATCTTGTCCCACTCCCCATCTCCCCCCCTTCTCAGGTGGGGTTCCCAGGGCGGCAGCAGCTGGGAAAGCCGCTGGGGCCGTACAACGGGTGGTACTGGTGGGCAGGGCGAAAGCAATTGCAGCCCAACACGCAGTACCAGGTGGAGGTGTTGCGCTATGCCCAGTCCGCCTACTTTGTCGCTGTCATCGTCACCCAGTGGGCCAACCTGCTCGTGTGCAAGACCCGCCGCCTCTCGCTCTTCCAGCAGGTCGGTGCTGCCAATGCAGGTGCGGTGCTCCGCAGCGTGTTTCACCAGAGCCATGGATCTTTCCGTTCTCTTTCTACGTATGCCCTCTGCCAACCCCTGACTCCCTGCAACATGCCTTTACTCCCATGAGTTTTGGATGCCACATAAGCCCTCAGCAGCATGCTCAAGCTCTTAAGGAAGGAGCACAGAGCACTTAACGAACGTTTTCAGGAGGAGAAAAAAAACGCTTCCTATTCCCTCTGCCTAATCCCACCTACACATGTCTCTCCAGGGCATGCGCAACCACGTGCTGACCTTCTCGCTGTTCTTTGAGACGCTGGTGGCAGCAGCGCTGCTGTACTGGCCGTTCCTGCAGGAGGTGTTTGACACGCGGCCCCTCAACGTGCTCTACTGGTTCATCGGCGTGCCCTTTGCCCTCACCATCCTCGCCATTGGAGAGCTCCGCAAATGGCTCATTCGCAAGTTCCCAGGTCTGTCTTCTCGCTCTTCTCATCCTTTTCGCCCCTCTCATCCACCTCTCACCTCTCACCCTCTGCCTTTTCAGCTGTTCAAGTCTGTTTGTTTCTTCTTCAGCTGTTCAGGTTTTTACAGAGATCTTGAGATGCTTAAAAAATCGCGACCAGAATCTGATATGTTGGCGTGGTGTGCTCTCATTGTGCCTGTGGCTTGGTGCATGCAGGAGGATGGATGGACAGATGGACCAACTGGTAATGCTACGCTCCGTTCGTCACAGACTCAAGTGTCCCATCCCAGCCACCTCGCTCCTTATCTCATATCTCAACCTAGTACTACCTCCCAGTCTGTGCTCCTCTTGAAACTGCCGCCCCTCCAGATCACCCTTATTAGCCTTGCTTGGTTCTTATATGGGCAATAATAATACCTTACAGTGTCTTCTCACATGGGCATCTAGCACACGTGTTGTTCACCATGGTTGATCTATTAGGGCCCAAAATTGGTTTAGGCCCACCCTTACAAATCAGGGTTCCAGCCCATACCTACCCTGACCCGTAGGGTAAAAATTTCCGTACCCTGTTGGCAGCAGGGTAAATCTACCACTACACTGATTTGAGCAGGGTACGGTAATTCTATACTTAGCCCGTTTTCACTAGTTTGTCATTTAAGTAGTTTCCTTGTAAGGTCCGATTCCCCCACCACACCGCAGGAAGTACATGGCTGGTACAGCAGCACTGGGACTGCAAGTTGATGCGTAGGACAGCACCAGGCCCTCAGATTCACTTTTAGGGTCGTCAACCCATCAGGGTCCCCCTGCGTGTTAACTCTGATTGACAGTGTCAGGCCCTCAGATATCAGCATAAAACACGCTGATTAGGCTGATTTTGTAGCTGTGATTTTCGTTTTCCCTGAAAATTCAGCATATGCTTCAATTTTGCACTGAAATTTCAATATAACCTACCTTGCCACACTGACCATTTTGCGTGTTGCTCAGGCCCTACGATATCAGGATTTTTTTCCTGAAATTCCTGATTTTCAGGGATTTTTTTGTACCTACACTGATTTTTCAGTGTTGAGAATTTTGTGACACTGATTTTTCAGCCTTTATTTCATAGTTGACACTGATTTTTCAGTCTTTTATCGAAGTGTACACTGAATGCACATTCCGAATCCTTCCTGTCAACCAACATTTTCTGTTTTTTCACGTACGAGAACGTAAGAGATTGAAGGTTTAGTGGATCAACTGTCTCAGTGGTTTGTGATTTTCTACAGACGGGTAAGGGCCCGGTTCGAATCCCTCCGCTGTCATGTTTCGTAAAGCCTACCCTTATATTCAAGGTTTTCATTTGCTTGAAAATTCAGGCTTTGTTTTTTAGGAACCCTGAAAATTCAGGGTTTTTTTTTAGGAACACTGAAACTCAGGGTTTTGTTCACAGGGACCCTGATGCATCAACGTCCCTTAAAGTGAATCTGAGGGCCTGGTGTTGCTGTACAAGTAACACTGACGAATCAGTGTAGTGATGCGAGTCACACTGAAATGGACTTGACCGCGTGGGGGGAGGGAGAGGGGGGGGGGGGGGGGGAGGAAGGGGGGGATAGGGTACTCCTGTACTATCTGTACCTTCGCGTGATTCACGAAACCCCACCCACACACTTGGAATTTCTTCCCATGCGCTGTACGGACAGCTGGTGCGCGCCGAACCGTTTTGCCTCGCTAGAAACTATCACAACACAACAGCTTTGTTGTTTTTTTTCCACTGATGGTTCAGTATACTACGGTAAGGATTTTTACACTGACGAAATCAGTATAAACAAAACCATGAACACTGATTTGAACACCAGGTCGGCCGGGGCACGCTGATCGATCAGCATACCCTCAAACCAATCTGAGGGCCTGGACAGTGTTGTCAGAATTATATTCTTATACCTGCATGTAGTTCTAGCTGTAGTGTAGATATTAACTTTATAGGTGGTGCACCTCTTTGTTTGCTATATGTACCTAGTGCTATAGTGAACACTCATTCTCCTCTCATCTCTCGACTCTCCCTCCTTGGCACAAACTAGCTCGACCCCCCTTTGGCCTAGGCTACTAAGCCTAGGCCCACTTAAACCTAACTACTTATGCCACTATATCGACAAGTGTTCCAAAAAAAAGCCTGAAATGTCAGTGTTGCGTTTGTAAAAAGCCTGATGCATCAGTGTACCACTAGTAAAAAGGCTGTCACTAACGCGTCGCAGGTGATGGCAATGGGGCAGGATCCTTGGCAGCCCTCCAGCACTACATGGTGGCCACGTTCGGATTCGCCAAGACTGACTGCTGCAGCGAAACGGCCCTATAGTGTGAGGCGCCGTGCCAACAAAACACCTCTGAACGTGAAGCAAAGGCAGAATTTTACAGGTTGGCCTCGCCACGGGGTGCTTACACATCGGGAATCTGAGATTCCCTGTAATTGCGGTCAAATCCACATGGCACAGGTAAGAATCGCTTCAGTGTTGGTTTCGTTACAGCGTTGTGGCGTCAGTGTCCTAGGGGAAAAAAGTCTGAAATTTCAGTGTGGCCTAACAAAAAAGGCTGAAAGTGTGAAGAATGAGGAATGAATGAACTAGCACAAGGTTGGGTACAAGTAGGAAACCCTAGGAAACTGTACCCCATAGTGTCTACCCCACTATAGCCTAGACAAGCTATATGATATGAGTTTGACACACCCCCATAGGCAAAGTGGGGGAGAACAAGAGGTCACAAGACCAGTCAAGCAAAGCAAAGCAAGCTCAGGGTGGATCACAACGTCACCACACAATCCGAGCACAAGAGCAAGGCCACAAGGCCAGTTCACATGCAAGATCATATATAAAGGTAAACAGGCAAGTGCAGGTATAGAAAGATCACAGTACAAGCAAGGTCAAGAAGTGAGCAAGTGAGGCCAAGTAGGCACAAGACCTAGCATCGTACAGAAGCGCTGATGATCACCAGGTGGAAGTGCCTTGGTAAAGATATCAGCAGAGTTGGCCTCAGAGGCCACGTAAGCAAGGCGCAGCTGACCACGCTGCTGCAGCTCACGAGCAAGGAAGTAGCGAAGAGCAATGTGCTTCGTTCTGTGCTCCAGTCTGTGCTCCCGACACAAGGCCAGCATGGCCTTGTTGTCTACGTACAGAACTGGAGGAGAACGAGGCGGCTCTCCTAGGTCAGTCAGCAGGTAGGTGAGCCAGCGTAGCTCCTGTGTAGCCATGGCTCCCGCGTAGATCTCAGCCTCACAGCTGGAGCCGAGAACAGAAGACGAGCGGGTACACCGCCACGAAACAGAGCCGGAACCAAGGCTGAAGGTGTAACCCTGTGACGACCGCTGCGTAGCCTGGTCGTCAGCCCAAGAAGCGTCTGCGTGACCTGTGAGGACCACTCGACGTCGCCCTCCAAGCACTAGCCCCATGCCCGACGTACTGCACAAGTAGCGCAACACCCTCTTCGCTGCAGCCATGTGCTCTGGTCGGTGTCTCCCAGGAGCAACATAGCGTGCCAAGATGCTAAGAGGGTATGCAAGGTCAGGTTGTGTGCAGGTCATCAGGTACATGAGGCAGCCAACAAGCTCTGGGTACGGGCCACTCGGCTCTACGGACTCATCCGAAGGCAGAGCTGAGAGTGAGTGGCGAGTAGACAGAGGAGTGGCCTGAGGCGAGGAGTACGTGAAGTCGAAGCGCTGAAGGACTTGCTGCACCATGTGTGACTGAGTCAGGGTAATGGTGCGCTGTGCTCTGTCCCGGGTGATCTGCAAGCCAAGGTAGCTGCGCAGTTCACCCAGGTCTGTGCACGTGTGTCTCTTCTGCAGCTCGGACTTCACGTGGGCGAGTCCAGCAGTGTCAGCAGTGGCAAAGACCAAGTCGTCGACGTACACGAGGATGTAGAACGGCGGCAAAGAGGTGTCGGTGCGCAGAAACAGCGACGGGTCGGCAGTAGATGGAGCAAACCCAAGAGCCGCAAGTGTAGTCCTCAGTGTGTCGTGCCACTCACGGGGCGCCTGGCGAAGACCGTAGACTGGCCGCCGGAGGCTCCACTGGGTACCAGGAGGAAACGACCCAGTGAAGCCAGGTGGGCAGCGCAGCCAGATCTCCTCGTGCAGGCTGCCCTGCAGGAAAGCTGTGCTGAAGTCAAGAGAGTGAAGCTCGTAGTCGCGCTGAGCGGCTATGTGCAGCAGCACCCGAAGAGTGGTCATCTTCGGGGTGGGAGAGAAGGTCTGAAAGTAGTCAACTCCCTGCCGCTGACTGAAGCCTCGAGCCACGTAACGCGCCTTGAAGACAGGCGGAGAACCCGGCGGCCGCTTCACCCTGAAAATCCACATGCCACTGACAATGTTTGCCCCAGGTGGGGGAACCTCGTCGACGTAGGTGCCTGTGGACTTCCAGGAAGCCATCTCTGCGTCCATGGCTGACTGCCACTGTGAGGAGTAGGGACCCTCGATCGCCTCAGCGTACGATCGAGGAGTCGGGATGTCTGGTGCATCCGGGTCTCCCTCAGGGGCAATCAGCGTGGACACGAGATGAGGCAAAGCAGCAGCAAAATACTGGAACTCCTCCTGCCTGTCCTCAAGGACGTCCGTGCTAAGAGCACACTCACCCCCGACGGACGGAGGACAGACAGACTCAGACTCAGCAACGAGACTAGCGGCGTAGTCTAGACGACAGCGAGCAGCAAAGTCGACAAGCTCAGCAACTAAGGCAGACGCAGCAGTGGACTCAAAGGAAGGGTCAGTGACAACAGTAGCCAGAAGACGCGTGACAGTAGGACTGGCAGCACGATGAGAGTCAGACTCCGGGTCAGCAAGAACAGGAAGAGAGGACTCTTGAGGAGACAGCAACGGGACACGCAGAGGAGCAGTGGAAGGACGCAGTGCCATCTGGTGTGTGCCTGGGACCGCAGGAGGATGCGGACGCGGAGCACGACTACTAGTGCGAGCAGCACGAACAGGCGACGCAGGACGAGACGCAGGCTCACGACGCTAAGCAAGACCTCCAGTAGGACCAGTGTAGGGAGAAGGAGCAGGTAGGGGGGAGGCGGGCTGTAACTGTGACCGCGACTGGACAGGCTGTGGACACTCTAAGGGAGGAGCAGGACCAGTAGAGGGCGGGAGACCAAGAACCTGCTCAAGGAGCGGAACGAAGTACGGCCGCGGCCGCGCAGCGCCTCCAGAACCAGCAGGGACAGCACCAGCACCCCCAGCGGCAGCACCAGCGCCAGCAGCACCTCCAGCTCCAACAGCGCCAACTCC